ATACTGGCAGGGCTCCATGCTGATTTATTCCTCCAAGGAATTCATGAACATGATTTTGTGGTGGTAATAAAATAAACCCATCCTAATTTTGAATCTCAAGTAGACCATGTGCTCCTTTTTTTTTTTTTAGCTTTTATTAACTTGAATATATTTTTAGGAGCGCACGTGTTGTTGGGTGACAATCCTCTTAACTCCAACTTCAGAGTTTTTATTATAGCTTTCAAGAGCCACATTCAGAGAGTGCACACAGAGACTAGACACTCTGTGTTTATAAAACCTTGGCGCTGTGTTGCAAAATATAACATGTAACAATCAAGTTTGGAACTCTTTGAGCAATTTCTAAATAATGAATGAAAGAGAATTTGCATTATTATGAACCTGTAAATATAAATACACTGTTTAATGCAGTGAACCATTTTCGTACTCTCAGTAGAGGGTATGCGAGTGCTGTCATCATAAGCAAGGTTGCAGTGGTTAACTGTATCAGAGGTAGCTAACAAGCAACGGGAGGGAAAAATACTAAAAAAGCTGTTTGTGCAATTTCAGTTCGTAAACAGATTTAGAAGGAGTTCACGGAGAAGTTTTTAGAGATTGCTGAAGACTCAGGAGAAGAGAAGACAACATGAAGCGATACTGTCCACAGACAACCAAAATATTCTTTGAAGTCCTTGTAACTTTGATCAGGCTGACAAATCCTGCTTTAAAGTAGGGCTGGGGGTCTGGATGCCTCCAGGCTTTGTTGGGTGTAATGTTACTCCTCTGCTGTCGAGCTACATAAATATGTACATACGAATCTCAGGAAACTCAATTTCTGGCCACATTTCAACTTTCAACAACTCAGATTGTCCAGTATGTCATTGTATCGTCAACTTCAATGGTCTTAAGTTTTACATGAAAGTAATTTGTTTTTCTTCCTGTGATGCAGCTTTCCTCATTCACTGCAGCCTCCTGATGGTTGTAACAAAGTAGAGCTAAAGGATGTTGTATCACATGCAAAGTGTCATAAAATAATACTTCTTTTCTGTCATTATCTGCAGCGGGCAAGTTTGTTTTGATGACATTTCCAGACAAGAAATGTATTTCTGGTTTCTTCCTTCATTAGTTGATTACCATCTCACAAAACCCAGACCTATCACCACAGCGCTGGAGAAAGGTCTGGCTGCACCTATTATCATTCTGTTACAGGGAACAAAAACCCAACCTCGCCTGTTTGTATTTATTTCACCAGTTACAGTCTTAGATGACGCTAATCCCAGGATGCAGGAATGGGGCCCCTGTAAATAGTGTCGGGGAAGAACTTGCTTAAGTGGAACATTTACAGGGAGGGGAACATTGTCAATAAAGTGGCTAATTCACTGCAAAGAAAATAGTGTAAAAGATGTATTTCTACTAAGTAACTGCATAATCCAAATGTTACCATTCTTACATTGGAGGGGCTCTCATTGTTTACCATCGCAAACAGGGTTTTTAGTACGTTTATCACTAATAAATTATGAAGTAACGTTGTTATTGTTGATAAATAATGTAAGTGAATCTATGAGTATGTGCAAATCAATAAATATCTAAAAGTGTCTCTCCTTACCCGTGACTTCTCCTCTAGTCTCGTCATCATGACAATGGTGTTGGATCTTTGCTCCCACACCATCCTCCAGAAGTCGCTGAGTGTCTCTGGCAGAGGCCCCTGTGTGGCGATGTAGGCATTCTGCTTCCTGTAGCCGTCAATGTAATTGGCATTGATGTAGTCACTGCCTGGAACAGCTGTCACAAAAAACAGAGAGTGTATATCTCATATGTTACACAGCATGGCTATTTGATCTAATAATATTGTTCTGGTATTCAATACTTTTACACTCATTGAACAATCACAAGCTGCCTCTAAATGCTATTTTCCAATCAACACTCAGTTTCAAAGGGAAATGGGTGCACAGGCTTAGAGGATTTCTGAAGCAGCAGCTGCTTTTCACACACAACGTCCTTGGAACTGGTGGAGGAAGCCTCTGTCAATGGCTGCTTGAGGGGTTAAGTGGTAACATGAGCTCTTACCATCAACAGAGGTGAGCACCACTCTGGAGTGGTCATAGGCGATGACGTTTGCATAGCGATTCTTTGGCTTGTTGACTTCCATGTTGGAGTTCTCCCAGGTAAACTGCTGGCCGGGATCAATGGACTGTGAGGGAGGGCAGGAATGAAAAGAGGGAGAGCAAACAGAAAAGATGGAGAGAGGATGATTATAAGAGAGTGGACAGAGAGAGACAGACCCAAAAAAACAGGGGAAAGAAAATAAAAAGCACAAAGGGAGGCTCTTGTGTATAACACTGGCAAAGGGATGGGGCAAAATTACACCAATGTCTGCTGTCACCCCTTCTAAAGCAGTATACCACGGACAACAAAGCCTTTAAAAGCCACAGTGGAGTGCTACAGGTAAGTGGTTTTATATTGTGTGGGACACTGTGCCGGCTGAAGCAATCGGTTAACAAAGTGCCATGTTGCTACACTGTGTCTGCTGTTGGTGCATTAACAGGTTAATTATTTTCATGGCACTTTATGTCTTGAATGCTAATAGGGCAGAAATATAAGAGCACTTGTTCCGCTCACATCGTCTCGATCAATTGAGCCAACAGAGACAACGTATTCCTCCAGTTTCTAAACCAACATTATGAGAATGAATTAGGTTCAAGGAGTTGCAGGCAACCACAAACACTCATCCTCCCTTTAGGATAGTCCTATTGAATTACATGATTCTCCAAAGTCACATGCCTGACTGCTTGCGGTAACCATGATTCTTCTCACTCTGTTCTCTGGCTTTTCTCATTTTGTATTTCTGTTGCCTTTCCTTGTGCTCTTTTTTTGTTTCACCTTCTCCCTCTTAGCTCCTCTCTACTTTTAACCCTTTCCATCTGATGTCATTTGTCTCGCGGGCTAAGACGACAGTAGATTGCATACATATATCGATCTAGGGGAGAGATATGTGACGGCCTCCCATCCCTCGGCTCAATAATGTCACAGTCTCTTGTTATTCTGTATCGATCTCCCTCAGCTCACACCGGAACCATGTCCACTAATTCCCCGGACCTTTGACTCACAAATCCAGCAGGACTCGGAACGACTCCTTCGGAATTCTTTCACTTACTTTATGTGGCTGAGGCACTGAATTAATTATTCGAGAGAATTTTATGTCAAATCTTGACAGCTCAAATATAATAATTATTATAAGTGGATAAATGATCAAATAAAGGGTGCAAGGTGAGGTCTGGAGAGAATTACGAGCCATGAAATGAAATCAGTGAAGCAGCACTATAAAAAGTGTTGTCCTGGTGTTGTTAGTTTGCCCTTCTATAACAAGATAGAGAAATGTGGCGTTAATACTCTCTTACAACAGCATTGACTACTTATCATTAATTTGTCCTGCAGAGTAAAGTGACTCTCTCAAAGATATATTATGAACAAGCAGTTTCAGATCTGACTATTTTAGTTTAATGTACTTGCTATTTGACTTTGAACAAGATATGAAAAATGGGAAGTGCTCATATGCAAGAAACTTTTACTACAGCTCCAAATTGCTCAGTGGAGAGAGTCATATGGACACAGCCCGATTGCTACTGATGAGCTTGGAACTGCCAATTTCTCTGTCCATGCCTGCCAGTATGAAGAGAAAGATTTAATTTGCAGTCAAAACATGTCATATCCTTATGAGAGCTCAGTGAACACAGCGGGCACACTAGACTGATGACAACTAGCAAACAAGTAAGGTAGAGGTGGTAGGAAGAGGTGAGAAGCAAACGGCAAAGGTATTCTCGCTTGCACACTGGAAATGCTTTCAAATGAATATAATGATAGCGCTATGACGAGTGCAGCGTGATATTGCTTCCTGTCAGGAGGAGCTGCAGCATGCCTGATTGACAAATTCTGCTCATTACCCAGTGTGCACATAGCTCAGTGTGCTACGGACTGGCGTTGATGGTAAGGAAAGTGTCAGGCCGACTAAAACATCGGGGAGAGGTAGTGGTGCAGCCTCTACAAATTCCGAGCCATGATGGTATACCACAACGGGAGCAGCCGGCGAACGTGACGATGACAAAGCGCCATCAGCTCTGCCACAGCGCCTGTTTGGCTCAGAGACGGGTGGCCATCTGCCGGGCATGGAGGGGGTCTTCCCTGGCTTGGAATGACTGGTGCAAGGGAATGGGGCCAGGCTGGTGGCCTGCAGTCAGACAAGCCACTTCTCTGGCTTGTTTCGTTTACACTAACTCAACAGGCCGTGAGGGCAAAGTGCTAGAGAGGCACTGAGCAACACAACCAAGGCCCAATTTTCTCCCCAGTTAGCTGTTCATTTCACAGCGAACCACATCAAAAATCTATTACAGTTATATATGATTAAATAAATGCAGTGCAACGCTGCATACATGGATAAAACATATAACAAATGTTCTATTTATAATGGTTCCTTTCAGATTTGAATACCAAAGTTTTATTCTATCATCATTGATATTACTGGGGCGGATGAAATGTTCCTATCAGTATAACACAATATAGTCTGACAGCACAACAAACCACATCCTCCATAATGACCATGAAGTTGAATAAATAACCCTCGAACATTTTTTAACAACCTTTGTGAGGGTTGGATTTATGCATGGCGGTTCCGTTAGAGCGCATTAGATGAGAACTGAGAATGTAATCACATCTGAAATCTGAATGAAGGTCTAAATCATGTACGACAAAAAGCACAAACATGAATTACTAATAAAATAAAGTACCACTTACAGCTGTAAATGTTTTTTTTTAAGTGTGCAACACTGGTTAAATGATGGAACAGTTATATAAGGCTTTCAGATAGATGGTATTTTCACACACTGGACAGAGCAGATAAAACAACAGTTATGAAATGTTGTCTAAAGTTTGGGCCTGTAGTGATGCTCGGGGAAAGGTCACAAGGCCACTAAAATAAATTTTCTGTTTCTCTCTGGAGTGTGAAATTGCACTGCCAATTTCATACTGTAGCAACACATGCTGGTCACAGACAGAGGCAATCGTGTAACCTTTTAGATAATGGTGAATGTAAAAAAGATCTACAGTCACTCCAGCTGCCTTGTTGGATCCATCAATCTAAGGGATAGACTTGATCAGACAAAACAGATCCAACGATCACAGCAAATAAACAGAAGCGAGCTCTTGTTTTTCTGTATTCAAGGAAGCCTCGTCTCTTGATCTGGCCTTGCTCAGTCCCCACACCAACCATGTGCCACTTTAAATGCAAATTTGCTCCCTTTTTTGGAGGAAGAACACTGACAAGAGATAATCCCTCACAGAGCTGCATCGCAGAGACCGACTGCAAAATAACATTCTTCGGGGAAACATCAGGACGCACACAGATTGCTTAAGCAACTCACCACCTGCTAGTTTCGTGAAAAAGCATCTTGCAGCATTTAATGTAAGTGTTGGTTTCCTGGTGGGATTGGTAATAGAGCTGTAAAAATGACTGAAGAATGTCTGTGAAAGAAGTCTTCTATAATCCATTTGAATACATGCATATGGGATCAAAGAGACATAAACACAAAATGTCCTCCCAGACACGATAACAAAGAAACACATTTATATGCTTGAAAGACACTGATACACTATTAGCACAATAGCTCATGGCTCTTACCTCATACTCCTGGGAAAAACGGAGGCCATCATTCGCCTTGAGTCGCTCTATGTGGTCAGAAAGGTCAACGACAGGAATGGGCGGGTGCTCCCTCATTCCTGGGAGAGGAAGAGGAGGAAGAAGAGGAGGGAAAAGGACAAAGAGGAGAGTGAGACCAGACTGTTCCCGCATTAGACATTCACACTGACATACACAAACACTGGTTGGACCACAGGGTGAGTGAGGCTGCCAGTGGGACCATGAGGTGGCTGTATAACAGTGAGGAGAGTGCACTTTGTTCAACAATGCATGAAGAGAGGGAGAGGATAGAGAGAGAGAGAGAGATAGAGAGAGGACACAAGTTGAAACAGGCTGGTGACATTTGGTGATATCGTCATGCTAAGTGAGGAGGACAGAGGTGGGGCTGGCTCTGCGATGCACATGAGTGACTGGGTGAGCATGCTCCTGGAAGGAAGCAGGAGGCAGACATCTCTGACTCCACAACGCTCAATCGGTGGCAGAGGTGAAATCAGAGCAAGAACCCACAAGTCTCAACAAATCAGTCACACTGTCGCTTCCCAGGCAGGAAAAAAACTCACTGGTCACCAGCCAAAACTCATTTCTTTGAAAATCTCTTTCCCTACAATAGACTATCTTTCGGCCCAGCCTGGAGCGCTTGGGCTGGATTAATTTCAAACAACCCCCCTGCTGCTCTCGAGATTTCTCATCGCTGGGTTATTGGATGATTTATTGCTAATCTACCGACACAAATTCCCCCTGTGCCTCTGAACTTGGCAAGGCTCTGTGCTTAAACGGATTGCTGGGAACTTGCCTTATGTGTAAAAAGTTAACTGTATGACACGCATGAAGACGCCCTTAAGTTATACATGGAGCATCATTAACCTAACATAAAGCCTTGAAGTCGCACAGAGATCAGGATAACACTTTAAAATGGTGGAAATATTAACATTAGTGCCTTTGGCTGAGTGCATCTGTAAGGTCATGGGTCATGCTTTCAGACTACGACTGCTGAAAGCTCATTATTGCTGCAATGCTAATGGCTAATGCTCGGTAACTACAGCCACTGCACAAAATGAGACCTGACCAATTAGACTAATTTAATACTATCGCTTGGAGCACCAAGGAGCACATTAACATTAGTGTGTATGTGTTGGTTTGGCCAGGTCTTCTATAGCCACGTTATATGCTAAATGGTGAGTGAAGTCATAGATAACAAGGCTAATGTACAGCAAAGTGTAACTGTCCGCATTGCTCCACCATCCATGAAACCATCGAGACTTGTGCATTCGCACCAAAAAGGTGTTGTGGGAAGTTCACAGCATAGAGTGGACATCGCTGCCTCCTTGAGGTGCCAGAGGCATCAAGCTTGTGGGCTTGTGATGTCTGTCAGGATTGCAACATGGGAATGGGATCGGGGGTGAGTGAGAGAGGAGAGACTGCATGTGTGGGAAATACACAGTAGGTGAGAGAGCAGACTAACTTGGAGTGTTGGGGCAACGATGAGAGCTGGGACCTGTGGAGAGAGGAGATTGAAGGAAGGAGGAAGAAGAACACTCAATCAATGGAGACGGCTCAGGATCAGACCAGGGCCTTACAATATCTGCAAATAACCTTTAAAGCTGGTTTGCAGCTATTAGTGTTTGCTCTCTTAGGACAATTCAAGTAGTTAACATAAGGCTGTTAAACAGACCAGCATACAAAGCGTGACTTTAAAAGACTGCTCAGTACATTGCTGAACGTTTTATCTTAAGTGTTTGAGGAAAGTTTCATTTTTTTACCACCTGGGTTTGATTTAACAGATTTGGCCATCATGTAAGTTATTGGTAATGACAACATTATAAAACCAATACTATCATTAAAATCTGGGAACCTGATATTTGAGTTGCAAGGCGATCTGTGGTGGTTACTAAGCAAATACTTTAGTTTGAGGAACAAATACAGTGACTACAACTAAAATGTTGGTAATATCTCAACAATGAAAACTGTCAACACGAACGACTTTTTCACCTCCAACACACGAGGTATTTTCATAATCTTATATCTATGACAGTTTGTGTGTATTTTTTAACGCTTGGCTGCAACTCAATGTCCTTTAGATGGGATAATAAATTAGATGCAAGATGGTCTCTCATCACAGATGGCAGTTTGGGTGATCATTCTACCTTTTGACTCTGTGTCCAAATTCCAAATTTGACTAAGCTGGTTGTTTGTTTCAAGCCTGTATTACCGTCTGATTGCCTGTATTATTTGCTCCATTGAACTTGGTGAGTACAACCTTATTTCACCGAAAGAAATGATGCCCAACACTACGACCCAGGTTATGAGACCAGAAATTCCTTTTGAAATGGTCCCCTGTGAATACTTACTGCAAATTGCCCTATGCTGTAAATGGCTCTGCATGCTTTTTCTGAAGCGTTCAAATACAAGTGATCATAGTTAGGTATTTGCAAATAGAATCTGATCCAGGTCTGGGATGGATAAATCAGGTCATTTATTCCTAAAACCACATAACTGCTGCTGGAGAGTGGAAAGGTACAGCCCAGGTCTGTCTAAAGGATAATTCTACTATTTTTACACCTGGGTCAAAATGTTCCATCTGTCTGGGTCTAAATAGTACAAATAATAATGATGAGGAAAAATAAATATTTTTAATCAGCTGAATATTAACTGCAAAAAGGCTGCAATGTAAAGGTTCCAATGACATGTTTAGATAGGAATTGTCATAACTATAAATGTCTGGACTCTAGAGATAAATGTGTGTCTCACATTTAACGTGAGTCCCGTTCAAGCAGAAATCTCACAAGAGACGAGTTTTTGCAGGAAGCACACTGTGTGAACGTGAGGGGGAGTTACAGAGAACAGGCTGCGACAGAATGGAGTAACACTACAAAGTTTGAGGAGGCGTAACTTACCATCATTGGAAAAACAAAAAGAAAGACTGACCACAATTTGCAAAGGTGTCACAGGCTTATTTTAGTGGATAGGGACATGTTAAAGTTGTGCATCAACCCTCGAGTCCATACATTACACCTTTGTTTCCATCATGTTTGCAGTGTTTCAACTACTGCCTGTCAAATAGGAGAAGAACTCCAACACCAAAGCACTTACTCCTGGAGAAAAGTGCGGTTTCAAGAGTAGAGAGACAAACCCAGCGGAGGTAATGTTATTAGCTTAAGATATTCTGTTGACATGGCATCAGTACTTGGACATGGACAAGTGTCCCGTGGGATTACATTGCAGCCGTTTTGCAGTTGCCATTTATAGTGCTCTCGCTCAATAAAACATTTTTGTGCCTATTAATCATTTACATCCAGAAATGGGAAAATAGGGCTCACGTTTTAAAGCACCAGAATTATCCTTTAACAAAACCAACATGCTGGCGACATGAGCTATACTCTGCCGGACCACTTAACCACAATCAGAATCAGAGCAGAAATGTTTACCTGCTGCGAGCGAATCAAAGATAGAAAAAAGGCCTGAAACGGCATGTTCAATATTCACTCAGCTCAACCTTGGAGTCTCACACATGAGATTTTTGATAATCACAACTCTTGAAGCAAAACAGGAAGGTGGACAGGGTGAGAAAGAAAGAGATAAATGTTGACGTGTGAAGACAGAGCTGAACAGAGAGAGGGATAGATAGAGAGGGAGGGAGAGAGAGAGAGAGCAATAGAGAGAGAGATTATCCTACAGGGAGAAATGGAAGACAAAAGAGGAAAGAGGTGGAGTGGGAGGATGGAAGAATAAGAATCCTTTAGAGCAGCAGTATTGCTTAATTCCTCTGCAGGGGTTCAAAGGGGCTGTGTGTGTGTGTGTGTGTGTGTGTGTGTGTGTGTGTGTGTGTGTGTGTGTGTGTGTGTGTGTGTGTGCAAGGGAGAATAGGATCTTTAAACACACAGCAACGCACAGACGCTTGTGCGCCTGGGTTGACATTTTCTCTCAGCTCCATTGTTCCCTCCGCCTGGCTCACCTTGACATCGGAGGCAGCAGGACTCATTACCAGCAGGGCGGAATGAAAGGAGCTCATGGAGGAGGGAGGAGCAAGGACCGGGGGGGAGGAGGAAGGAGATCAGGAGGAAAAATGAAGAAGCCTGATGCTGAGGTGGGAACCCTGACACAGCCCCCCTCCATCACAACCACCAAAACCCACTTCACTAACGCACGTGGTGGGAATGTGAATCACTCGGCTGGACTCCGCTGAGTCTGATCAGAGCTGAATATGATGGTAAACATGATTTGTGTATTTTCTCTTATCGACCCATTTTTCTTTTCTTTTTGAGAACTGGTCAGATTTTTTTAAGCCAAAGGATAAATAACGAAATAAGCAGGACTCATAAATTTCCTACAGCAACATCTGTTACAAGGCACTAATAAACAAGAGATATGTCAAGAGAAAAGGAAGGCAGGTGTTCATTGCAGAAGTGGATTGCTTCTGGAGAGGCTGTTCAGAGTTCAGATGAAAAAGAAGAAAAAAAGAAAATGAAATATCCACCCTTAAAAAAAGAATGAAAATAAAATATATTAAGGAACACTATTAAAGTTACGAGTCACCTTTAGAAATCATCTGTTTTTAAATTACTGCCTGATGAATTTCACATCGCGATTGTATTTTCAAATCCCTCGTCACAGAGGCAGAGTGTACTTTTTATTCATTTTTTTTTATGAAAGAAACGTCGACTGAACCAGCGCTCTTTCCCAACAATGCTCTGATTAAAATTCACAAACTGAGTATAGAAAGTCACACATTTCAACAAACATGCCCAGTACAACAAACTTTTCTCACTCGCTCCCATGAACAACTATACAGGTTCGTGGGAGGTCAATTCTGCAGTCACGTAATGTCTGAGTTACTTTTATTATGAGTTTCCAAGTTGCAATCATAATAACCGGTCAAGGCAGATGGCCGCCCACACTGAGTCCAGTTCAGTTCAAGGTTTCTTCCTGTTTAAGGGGAGTTTTTCATCTCCACCGTTGCCAAGTGCTTGCTCAGAACAGTTGGGTTTGTCTGTAATACTGTGAGCTTTCAACACTACTGTGTAAAGTGCCTTGTCTAGTGACGTGTTAACATCAATTTCCAAGTAATAATTAGAGCTGGAAAACAATATATGCGCCTTGGCACTCACTTCAAGTACATGTATGCCTCATTGTTTTTCAGTGTCATTTCATTTTAACATAAAGTCAACCACACAGTCAGCTCTTTCATCAATCGTACAGCTCTCACGATGATGTGAACACAGTCCTGAACATGGGAATTGCTCCTGCCTCTAGAATTAATCCCATATAACATAGATGCAGCATAAGTTCATTTTTCAGGGGCAGTTGAGGGAAAGCGTAATTTGACCACATATCGATAAAGCTATGATTGTTAGACCATTGATTATTACCTGGGGTCTGGTAGTTGAGTCTTCTCATCTCCACAGGGTCGGAGGAATTGGCCAGCAGGGAGTCTTTCACCCCACCTGAGTGGTCGTCTTTGGGTAGAGGTGATGCCCGTTTCCTGTCGCAGCAAAAACAGGGAGTACAGCGTTGAGGACACCATGGCAAGACAAGCTAATTGCTCAATACATGGGTGTTAACTTAGCAGTCAACTTCAAAAGTTACACACTGACTACGAATGATTGAGATTAATTCATGTTCCTTCTGAATGGTTAGAAAATAAGACAAAAGTCTTCCCTGTGTTGCATACTTGATGAGGTTAATTACATAGTTGATGGTTCTCAAAAAATCTTTTCTGAAGACCAGCAATTCAAGAGACAGTAGGTACCAGGGCTTTGCCCCCATTAGTTTGCCAACTGGAGTTTAATGTGTTTGAAGAAACGCCATCATTTTCCTGGAGTGGGCTAAGTTGGGTTTGTTTGCTGCTGGATAGGTGACAGCTGCTGTGTGGGTATGTGTACATGAGCGTGTGTGTTTGTGTGTAGCAAAGATCTAAATGTGTGATTTTCGTTGCTGTGTGTGTGTGTGTGTGTTAACAACACATTGTGTTTACTGGCTTTCCAGATTGAGAGGAAAGATGCTGTAATTAGCTCATCAGCTGGGTGGCACAACACTGGGTAATTAGACCAGTTCTGCAGCACCTGCACTGCCAGGCCTGGCCTAGCTCCGTCTAACACAGCACAGACACAAGAGTACAGCTCGGACTGGCTCGGCTTAGCCGGCCGTGAGTTTGGCCATCGGGTGGAGAGAGGAATAAAAAAAAACCATCCTGCCTATAGTCTGATGTTCAGATCGGCAGCATCTGTTGACACACGCACACAGATGCACGCTTTCCCACCTCTCTCACTTACAACTGCACACTCGCACAGATACAGCTGCAGACTCACATGCCTCCTGACTGCAAATGGAAATGGGCGGAAGAAAGCATCAGGGTGCCCTGTGGAAATTTCACATCTCATTGCACTCCATTTGCAAGTGGTGAGCGTGGGTTTTAGGCAGGAGCAGGGCCTTCTGTTAAAACCCTGCGTTTTGAGAATGCATAAAGCTGGTGGTGCACACGCAGCCTTAACCCGATCCACCTCAGCCATTGGGGCTTGGGCCTCACTGCCACCTGTTAATTTATGTAGCGAAGGCTTAAGCTAATGCTAGCAGCGTGACGGCTAATCTATGACAAGCATCTCTTCCTCTCCAGCCAAAAGCTGAGCCAGACCGTATCCGGTTCTCCAACTGCTGGTGCTGGGGGGTGGCTGTGTGTGTGTGTGTGTGTGAAAAATGCGGGCATCTGTGATCTGTTCTCCAGAACCCTCATCTCTAGCTCTCACCCAATCAGATGCCAATCTACGTGACACTTCAGTGCTGGACTAAAGTAAACATAGCAGCCATCTCAATGGGATTATTCATCTCTGGCTCAAAGTGAGGGTTAAGACGTGTAAGAATGTAAGTACACACAGACTTATACACACAGTGTGTGTGCCGTACAGGGAGCACTTAATGAGGGTCGGACAGGGCCTTTTGTTAAGACTCCTGCTATGAGGAAGCGGGGGGGAGTGTGGGGGGAAGGCTAAAAGTGGAGGAATGGGTCTCGATGGAAAATGTCAGCCTAAAAGATGGGAACATTTCTTTTTCAGCAGTTTCCTCGTCTGGCATTTACTTCACAATGGCCCATTCAGCAGCAGGTGATGCCTTGGCATATTCAGATGGGGCCAATCTTGAAGGGGTGCACTGACACTGGCTGGATAATGAAACACAGCACGGAGACAAACCATGGCAGACAGGAGGATCTGAAGGGGAACACTGGCACTAGATGTGGAACATGCACTGCTACACAGATGTGACCTGGGGTTCCTTTAACCCCAGTTATCAAAGGGTGCAGAGTCCGCTGCTTCTCATGTCTTGTAATTCTTGTAAAACGGAGCAAATCAGATTAGTCAGAACAGTTTGAAGACGTGTCCTTGTTTTTTGTAAGACCCATAGGAGGAGAGAGGAAACAGACTCTGCAACCATTAAGAGCTGGTGAATACCAACAATTTAACAACACAAATGAAGGGGACTTGGGTGGTGGGAGATGAAGTTGTGTCTGACATAACAGTGACAGTACCCACCTTTCCTGTTTGCTGCATTCACAGAGGGCAAAAAGAAGGGGGCAGGGGGTTAATAGGTAATTTTTTCTTACATGGACCGATAACTTCCTCATTCAATGCTCATTCAGAAAGTTGAAATTAAACCACAGCATAAAAAGTTATCCTAATACTTTCTGAAAACAGCCTCATGATGACAGCGCTGCACTGGTGAATATGCAGGTAGCAATAACAATCCAAGCCGAGAGTGTGATTATTCTTTTGCACATTTACTGCCAGTCCACTGTGACAAGGGCACACAGCCACCTCCCACAGTTCCTTCTGTCAATCTGTGTCTGTGAGGAGAAAGGGCTTCCAAACAGAGGACGTGCTATTCAGCAGTGAGCTGTCTCCAGACCTATTATTAACCAGTCCCTTTCTCAGTCTGCTGGAGATGGCAGCCACACGGCTGTCTGCGAGGCTGTGGATGGCAGGTTGGAGAATCGTGTGACGGGAAATGGGAAATTTTGTAACGCAGCCATTAAGAGAAGATATGCAGGTGGGACTTAATCAGGAGGAAGTCAACTGAGGTAAATAATGGCTTACATGTAGGTAATAGATTCCTAAAATGGGATTTTTATAGTGTCTAAAACACATTATTGTTATCATTAATGAGATGTGAGATATCAACATATAAATAACTGTTTAATACTAACAAGCCTAAAGAATGGATGGTTGTATTTAGGTCTGCAACTAATGATTATTTTATATATCAATTATTTAGTGTATAAGTTTATTTTGTGAGAAGAGAAGTCACCTTCACATTGTATAAGCAGCAGCAACAAAATATTTCACATTTCTTGTTAATAAATTACTTAAAGGATTATTCAGTTATCAAAATAAAACACAACATTTTAATGAACTGATTAATTAAGCATTTGTTTGATATATTTCATATGTATAATATTATCATTAGTCTGTGATTCCCCAGTACATTGTCTGTTTATGTTTCTGCAGCAGAGGGGCACCTGAGGAGCTTTTAAGAGATACAGCTAGAGCTCTTAGCAAAGCCCCCTGTTGCAGCCTTCTGTTTGTTATTTGAAATGACCTAAGGCGTTGGCCAAAACACATCTCTCACTTCTCCCTAAAAGTTTCTGTCAGCCGAGCTATGATTTTCATAAGGAGGTCAATGTCAGCTGCCATTCCAACTGACACCTCATATAGTTCTGGTAAAGAACAGACAACTGGGCCAAAATCTTTCAGGGAGAAATGAGAGTTTTCTGAATGAGAAATCAATCCTCCTTTGGCTCCTTTGCATTACGCCATATATTATTGTAAGGAAATTGGATGTTACTGTTTGGCGTGAGAGCCGCCTGGTGCAAGTGGCAGAGGGAAGCATGTCTCATTATCATTCCTGATGCAACTAAGAGAAATTTACAATCACAAGTGTAACTGCAGTTCAACCTCAAACAAACACAGAGAAGAATAAGCGAAGAATGACACATGGGCACAGCCTCTTACTTCTTGAAGAGCAGGATGGCAATGACGATGATGACGATGAGGACCACGGCCAATACTGGGCCCATGACCCACAACATTTCAGGCTGCTCACTCAGACTTGCTGGGACTTGGATCGGGTCTGAGTAGGGACTGGCTGAAAACGTCATCTGTGAGGGGACAAAAAAACAGAAGGCAAAGCGCATGAGACACAATTTTACGACATTCTAGATTAAAAACAGCCTCCACATTTAAGAGAAGAACCATGTGAGCATGTTGTTACAATAAATATAACATTCAATGTTCAGTTTTTAATTGTAAAGTAATCATAGGAAGTCTTTGATGATATAAAATTGTTTCTACATTTTAATGTTTTCATTTAGTTTTGATCTGACTAGGTAAAAAACTGCTGGTTCTTATTACTACAACAAAACCTCCAACTCATTCAGGTAAGCAACTGCTTTTTTATGGACTATGTTAAATTCCCAAAGACACATGGGTCATAAATTTGTGAACAGCCTCTTATTTTCGCAAAACGAGAGAAAAACACAACGATTAATCATAAAAATAAATGATAAACATTTATTATACAGGATTTTCTGTAACAATGTTGGAAAAAAAGAAATTTCCTGCACCCGGAGAACCAAGTTATTTCATGCTAATAATAGACCCCGGTTCATGGGTGCAGCAGAACAAGGCATAAAACTATCGACAAAACTCAAAGGACTCTTTCCCAAAAACAATAAGCATTGCGGCTAATGACGTTATTATTATGTTTCTATTAAAGCTTTGCATCACATTAGAGGAAACTGAGACTGCTGCTGACAGAGCAAGAGAGAGACAGCAGAATGAGAGAGGTAGAGACGGAGAGGATTAGTGTGCATGTCCCTTGGCCGCTGAGATAAATGGGGGCACAGGAGAGGACTCATCTCTTCTTCATTAGTGTTCACACCGTGACGGAAGAGAAGGAGGAGAAGGAGGAGGTGACTGTGAGGGTGCGTTTCCACCTTGGCTGTAAATGAGACATCTCCCCCGCTCCTTCATTTACAAATGACGGTGTGGCAGGAGGAGGCAGGGGTGTGCAAGCGTGTACCTGAAGAGTGGGTGCACAAGTTGATGCAGTCAGTGTGGCGTTCTAAAAAGTGTTCTGAAAGAAGAGGGAGTCCAACTGTGGGAGAGCAAGGTGACAGATAAAAAAGAAAGAGGGAGGTGCGAGGCATCTGTCGTTAAGAGCTCAGCATGCCTTCTATTGAAAGACGATGGGAGATGCAGATCTGGGGGAGGGTGTGTGCGGAGGGGCATGGGTGACAGATCGCAGCCCTCGAAGGGAATTGGGCTCACAGCATGCAGCGGGAGTGGCGGGGCGGCAGGCAGCAGTAATCCGGATCATTAGCCGCACAGCAGCCCGCTCTTCGGCACACAGGCAGATATTAATTAGAAAGATAAGCTGTGATGAGCTCAAAGACTCCTGCACTCTGTCATATAGTTGTGTTATCGCTCCTACTGGGCAAATGCCAGAAAAAATTTGAATGTTACGGCATGTCTCAATCATGTACATGCTAAGCAGCACACTCTGCAGGAGGCATGGACGCAGGATAACTCAACTGAGAGAATAAAAAGTTTCCCATTCGTATGATAAAGCAGTAGTTTACAGCTGCAGTATTTTTCCAGTTGTCTTTTACACACACAGAAACACGCACCAGGCACATTAGACCAGTTCTCTCCAGATCTGCGTGCCTTCGGGAGGAACCTATTATCTAAGAACAAAGAGAGAGGACACAGCGGTGGGACGCCGCTGATGTGACGACACCACAAGGCTTCCTGTTCCTTTGGGAGGGCCCAAAAAAGGCTGTAGGATGTGGCCCTGCTGGGAATCCTGGGAAAAAAGATCGTTTTTTTCCCCCTCGTTGTAACAAATGACTGCAGCTGTGCTTTCAGAGAGGAATAAGGGAGGATGAGCGAGAGGAGAGGGTCCGACAAAAAAGAGAGGGCTTTTTGTCTGTTGGTCACGGCGAAGTACTGGGATCATCCATTTGAACGGCTCTAATATCTGATAAAAGCTCAGTCACGCAGCTCCAAATGCTTCTGCCCTCGCAGAGCGGGATCACAATGGAGCGATGGAGCAGTGATGGTATGTGTGAGGTTGGGAGTGAGTCAGAGAAAGTGAGAGACATTAAAGTAATGGTTATGTGTATGTGTTAGCAATCTGAATGTGTGTATTTGTGTACAGTAAGCACGTGGTTAGGTTGTGTGTATGAGAAGAGAGTGTCCTTCAGCTCAGAGGGCAACAAATCGACAATCTTTTAAAATATCTATAGAGCAGAGAACAGCATATGAAAGAATATGAAAGGGAAACAGCTATAAGGTTAGTGGTGTACGTGTTTTTCAAATTGTCGGATTCAAACCATGACTTTAATTTTCTTTAAGCAACTGTATTTAAACAGGTTTCATAAAGGAAGTGAATTCGCAAAGATTAGATATACACTGCATTTGTTATGACCTATAAAACCACCCCCTCCATTTGAGATCTACCACTGTCAAGACGATGCTGTTTATTTAAAGCATTGTGTGTGAATGATAGTAAAATGCATTTGCGTGTGTGGGGAAGTGTCAGCGAGAGAAAGAAAAGGTGTGTGCATGAAAAGACTAAACAAATGTGTGTAAGAGAGAGAGAGTGTGTGTGAGCATACACCAAACATCAGTTTTTCTGAGCCTATTCTCAAGCTGCTCTGAAACTCCAGAGTGTTTGTCGAGGTCGCAGCGTCTCAGAGTGTGTGCGTACGGGTGGGCTGTAAGTGTTTGTCTGAGGCACAGTAAGAGAACAAGAGAGGGAGAGTGAGCGAAAGAGAGAGAGTGTGGGCGATGAGAGATGGCAAAGAGTGACGAGACAGAGAGGCAGAGAGAGACTGAGGCAGAGGTGTTATGGTAGCAGCAGTATATCAAGTCTGCTATCTGGCCCGTGGGCTACACAACTTCCCGAGTCATCCGCTGCGCCGCCGTCCCCTGAGCATAGAATCCGCTATGTGCAGAGCAGGCACATTATTTTCAACATGCCTCTGACCTCTAGCACATGTCTCTCCAAAAAAAATGCTTGAATTAGCCGCAGGGGTGTGTGCCAGAAAAAACAAAAAAAAAAAAAAAAAAACATGCAAAGATTCCATTATGTATCTGCCTCCACAGGGAGGCTGAGGAGCTAACATCCTCATCGGTGCATGACGTAGGCAAAGGGAAGGGGAGGAAGAGGGCAAGAGAAGAAGAGAAGAGCGAAAACTGAATGGGAAAGATGGTGTGTGTGTGTGTGTGTGTGTGTGTGTGTGTGTTTGTGTGAGAACAGTAATGTAGCTGCAGGGTCTAGCCTATACTGTAGGATGACCATTCTCCCTCACACTGCACTTCTCCCTTTCTCCTTATTTCTCTGCTCCATTTTATCGGAACATGCCCTCTTTTCCAGATACTGCACTCTTCCCTCCTTGGCTGTCTGAATACAAAGCACCCAGATATCTCGAGGCATAACTAGAGGGAGAAGCCTGTAGGAGGAAGTGACATAGCAGGTTGAACAGAGGATCCTGTCAATGTTGCCTATTTTTTTATTTTTACCACCATTGGTGAAAGGCTGGGCTTCATGACGCTCTTTTGATATTGTTCGTCAGAGCCTTTTACATTTTGAATGAAGCCAGTTAAGGGTGATCTGAGCCCAGGGCAGCAACAGAAATTAGAGCCACAAAGCCAAATGTTGTTAAGAATGAGTTGAATATAAATTCCTGGACAACAATACAAACAGAAAACATTGGTAGACACATCTGAACACTCTCTGTTTTATGTTCCTCCCTCACACTCTCACCTCTCCCTTATCAATAGAAAAGCACACATTAGCACAAATCTATCCTTCTTCCCCAAGTTCACTTTCTCTCATCCCGGCTTCACATGCTGGACGGGACACAAGACAAAACATTTTTTGCTTCCCTCTTTTCCTCTCTCCAACACCACCCTCCCCTTCGTCTCACATCACACAATATTTCATGCTACCTCCCTCCCTCACTCTCTTCTTGCATTAAACGATACTGTTTATACACACCCAGCATCTATCATCCCATTTCACACTTCCCCCGGCTTGTTTATCTGCCTTGGGTGCTGGGGAGACATGAAGGCACACTCACTGTTTCTTTCTCTCTCTCATCCCCCTTTGCCTTCCTTCCTTCTCTTCTTCCCTCCAACCACTGCTGGCTGCTTGTGGCCATTGATATACGAGGGCTTATTAAACCCTGGCGGTCTTTTTGATCTACGCTGGGGGAGTTTGGGTGGTGGCAAAGAAGTGCAGTAAAGACACACGTCATTTACTCCAGTACTTCTTGTCTTATTCTCCGGGGTCTGGTGAAGATCCTACTCCAGGCAGCTTCTGGCGACTGCTCGATCTCCCTGCTCGCTTTACCTTCTGTACTCGTTTGTGTTTGGTAATAAATGTTTGCAAGTGCTGTGTTGGGGGTGACAAAAACAAACACTGCTTTGGTATCTGAGATTCCCAAAGAGTGCGGTTAGGGGATTTGTGCAGCAATCAATGAAAAGCCTTTCTGAAGTTGCCAATTCAAGAGCCAAGTACATTTAGACGCAACACAAAAAACTAATTATTCAGGAAAAATTTGAGAATTAAGTTCTTTACCTGCACTTTAATAATCTTGTTACTGTAGATTCTGTGGTTATTATACTGTATGCAGGAGGTCACTTATTGGATTTTGTCCTATCTCCTACAGTATTTTTGAACCAACCAAGTTTGATTTCTTTAGTATTTGGGCAGATGGTTCAAATTATAGGCTCTGTCGTTTTTCTTTTCTAAGTGCATGCATCTGATTTTTCACAAAAAGACTATTTAGCTGAAGAAGTCAATTAATTTTTGATTGTTTTATTCAGACTTGGTTAAAATTGTCTTGTGTGTGGATGCACTTCTACAAGTTATATAAGCTTTTTAATGCAGCTTATGTCCTGATAAAAATGCAGCAGAATCGTCGTTAGAAATTATAATGCACATAGATGTTATGAGAGAGATTAGAGAGAGAAGTGCTGACCTACTCTTAACACCAGCTATGGAAACCAGGTGTTTTGTTTACATGCAGTTGATTAAATTGGGTCACTGCATAGCATCCAGCACCGCCAATAACCAGGTTACTGAAGTGAAGGTAAACACACAGACTGACTCACTGAGTGGAGCCTGATTAATCCAAGCGATTAGGGTTTAGAGGTGGGAGGTGCTGCACACTTTAAGGAGGGGGAGAACACAGAAAGAGACAAATCTTGAGCGCCACTGATCCAACATGGTGCGTCTGGCAGGTGCAGTAAGAGTGTTGTGCTGCAATGGGGTTTAAGAATCTCCTTTGAAGTCGAGTGTATCATGGCTGCCCACTGTAGCCTCCTTCGCACCTCCCTTCCCCACTCAGAGTGAAGGAGTGGGGGATTACGGAGAGAGGGTGGGGGGGGGTGGCTTTAGAGACATTTAAAGCAGCATTTCAAGGGAATCAGGCCTGCTTTACAGACTCCCTAGGCCCTGTAACCAGGCCCTCGTCCTCCTCTTAACTCCAGCCGCACTAATCAATCTCCTCTGCTCTCTTCACGGTACAGAAAGATGGAGAGAGGGAGAGAGACACACAGATAAGCACAGAGCCAGCGAAAGAAAAAGACAGAGAGAGAGAAGTGGAAAGAAATAGGTGAAATGTCTGGGATTTGGTTTCGGACATGGAGCACTCGCTCTCTCTCCCTCTGTGGTTGCCCAAGGCCCAGCTACTGAATATGCATGTCCGGGGTAGCTGAGGAGCCCAGAGCAATCGCAGAGTCTCATTCTTCCTGCAGTGAAGTTTACCCCTGACCATCCGATGGAGAGCTGGGCCTGCGTGTTAGTGCTGTTTGATGAGTGTATAAGGCCTCCACTTAAAAAGCCAAGAGTCTTGTATAAGCAATGTAAAGAGATCTGCACGGGACCCTGCTGGCTGCAGAAATGGAAGAGCGGGATCTCTGACTTAATTGTCGACTGATAAGGGAGTAATCAGGTCAAGCTGCAATGACTTTTATAGGCAGCAGTATTAAAGGCTAAATGGTAGTTAAAAAAAAGAACAACAATTTAGCTTGCCAATGGCATTTTGGAAATGCTTGAGGGGCAGTGTAGTTACAGCCTACGGACGGGTGATAAAACGTAAACAGTTTAGACGGAAAAAGAAAAGGTGACAAATGTACAAGAACCGGATCAGATGAATTAACTTTTGATAAAACCCCAAAAAAACCTCTAATATGTGTTATGCTGTTAAAAGAATGATTGTCTGTCTTAGATTGGTAATTTGGATTTTTACTTAATGTATGTACATGTGTGTTTCTTACATAATTTGCAGCGCTGTCTGTCCCGTCGGATCGGAGCATGGCCAGGACGAAGCAGAGGTACTCCTGTGGACTGGTCAGAGGCTTGTTGTAGAAACCATTGTACCTCTTCTCATCCCCCAGGGTAAAGCTGGTGGGCAGTGAAGCCAGTTTAGCAGCAATGTAAGGTTTGGAGGAATCCAGGTGACGGCGACGCCTCAGGACGGGGCCTTCGCTTGACTTGAGCAGCTGTGGAAAACACAGAGGCAAAGTTAGGGTCAAGTTTGGGAACAAAGGACCCTGACCTCTAATTTCCTGTCACAGAAAAACATTTATATCTCAGTATAGAAGCTGAATTCATTGCATCACATGGCGACATGGAGGTCAAAGGTTATTTCTTCACAACAATCACTTTTTGGCACAAATGAAAAATGTGGGTTGTGTGGTGGAAAAATCCTCAGTAATTAATGTACAGCAAGCAACTGGATCCTCAACTATAAAAAAACCTGCATTCACACTTAACTATGTTCAGGTCTGGTTATTGCCATGACTTCAAATTAGAGATAACTCCTCCACACAGCTAAAATACCCTTTGCTCATTGAAATAAGTTTGCAAACAACACAGCCAAGCTACGAAGTGAGCAATTAACACTTACCCCAGCACACAATCTCAGCATGACTGCCAGCCTGGTTAATAAATGAGCAGGAGCACACAGCACTGCGGCATTGTGTTTTCAGCAGCATTTTGTTTTCTGTCAGTGATGTCTCACGTGCCGCTTCAGATGTAGCTTTATTAAATCATTATGTCGGGGGAGGAGACAATGGCCTGCTCAGTGTTTAATGACTCAGGGAATCCCATCTCTCTCCCTCTCTTGGTCTCTTCTGTTATGTCTACACAGACCTTGAACAATAGCAATCCAACTAAGCGAGCCCGGCAGTTTACTTGAAAATCATGCTATTAATATTTAGGCATGTCATTAACTTAAATTCCCTCATGGACCAAGAAGATGTTTATTCAATAGAATAATACAGCAGCAATAAATCTTCCTCCTCATTTGAATACCTTATGCAAAACTTTGTGTGGAGTTGGCAAACCATGACTAATAAAAACATGAAAATGGACTAATTAGAAATTACTGTATTAAAAAGTGTCACATAAACAAAGTTTACTTTCTTTACATCTGTAGTATATACCGGATTAAGATTATTCTCTGACCAATGAAAGTGGTGCATTCAACAGCAGGATTCTGTCTTCAGGCCTGGCGTCCAATCAGGACACTCTCCACCCACCCCAATGAGTGAGTGTTTAAAATCTCTCTGCCCTGCCAACCCCCCCCTTTTGAGCCCAGGAGGGTGGAGCTAATTAGCTGCAGCCCGTGACATCCCACCCAGTTGGAAAAGGGGGAGATATTATTGGTAACCCCTGACCTGGCACATTAACCAATCAGCCCCCAGCTGGCACTCACCTCATCCAGGTCCATCTCGTCTGGATTCTTCCACTGCCGCTGTGACTGGGATACTGGCACCACCACAATGTAGTACCACCTGCCAAGAATAATAAAGCGTGTGTTTAAGACAGACTGAGTAAAGCACATACACGCTAAGATCAAAGTTGGCCGGGCACATTAAAAACACAGTCAAATCCTCCAGAAAGACATTCTTTTACTTTGCGGCTTGCTGGGCAGATTTCCAAACTTAAGTGCTACACAAGTTGGTACAACCAAGGTCGAACACCGACAGACTGGCACTGCGTTCTCCAATTAATGCCTAATCACTGAGAACATCTGCCATGCAGACTGGAACAAACACTATCCCAGTGAGAAGAGCCTTCAGTTAATAGAGTTCCCAATAGGATTCCACAGGTTAATAGGAGCAGCTATGTGAGTACTCATGAGTGTCCTTCCACTGCTATCATTATTAACACCACAAATAGAAGGAAAACAGAAACATTACAAAGACATTTAGTAGTTTACGTTCAAACTGAGAAGTTGAGCAGACTTGTTTTGTTTGTTCACGATGAACAAACATCTGTGTCTGTGTTTATTTATGTGCTGGCTCTCTCTTGCTGCCTCGCTTGTGTTCTCCCCCCAGTCTATCCTCTCTCAGCTCTAAGTTTTTCCCCTACTGCTGCATTCAGCCACTTGTAAAATCAGCTGCTGCTGACAGGGAAAGCAGCTGCTTCACTCCCCTTCTCTCCAGGCCTCCACTCCGACTCAACAGTCAGTCAAGTCTGGGAGTGGGAGAAGACATGTATAACAAGACTCCTCATCCCACCACTCTTACCCGCACATGCACTACACACACACACACATACACCCCTCTACATCCCCATCCTCAATCACCTGTGCTCTTTGCCTGTCAATCTAAGCCAGAACTTGGCCAGCTCTGACAGCTCTGTAATCTTTTTACCAATCAACCCTGTGCACTCCCTATCCTCACATTTATCTGTGCATGTGTGTGTGTGTGTGTCTATGTGAAGGAAAAGCTTTACTCGTCAGGGTCAGCCACAATTCTGCTCTTAACAATTTGAGTCTAAAGATAACACAGTCCGCCCTGATGTTAAAGGTCTCAATTATAATCAGCTGCTGTGTGACAAAGTTGGCTGAGATTAAAAGTTGCAACTTAAAGTTTCAAAATAGGTTCAGTATTGATCAGCGCCACTCATCCTATGGCTGCAGTTAGAAAGGTTGTTCAGTTTTCAGAGTTGTCAGATAATATGCTTGACAACAAATAAATAGGGGAGACAATTATTGTCTTCATTTATTTACAGTATTCATTCAATTTGATGTTTTTGTAGTGATAATATATTTTTACTGTAAAAAGATCACGTGATTAATTCATGACTAACACCATGTGGTATGTGGCGACAATAACTGGTGATTTAGCAGTAGCCTGAATAAACCACAAGACACTAAACTAATCGCTGGAGGAAAATCTTGGTCACTGCATCAGCCAAGAATCAAGCAGCCGTCCCTTATGCTAATTTAAGAAAAGGCTAACAAGAGTCATGATCTGTTGGTGGATCTGTGCCCAGCGTCAGAGCAAACCTGTGTGTTCGGTCCAGTGCTTCTAAATACTGACCTGACGCGTGTGGTGGTCTGGACTTTGGGCAGCTCGATGGTCATCTTGCCGCCCTCAGCCTGGTGTGTGCTGGGCTTCGTCTTGATCAGGTCAGGAGCGGTGCGTATGGACACCTGCTGCTGCAGACCACCAGCAATGTTGCCCCTGCTTGTCAGCACAAAGGAGTAGTCTGTGTCTGGCTGCAGCTGCGCAATCAGCTTCCTCTTCAGGTTTCCCTGCACTTCCACGCTTTGCTGGTTATATAAGATCTGCAAGCACACGAGGGAAAACTTGAGAGTTAATGGTGTAGGGTTCTTTACATGTATAGCATGTGAAGCACATCTCTTGGACAAACAAAATCCTGTCATTCACACATACACATGGATGGAAGCAGTATAGTCTTAAGGGACATGTCCATCTAATCTGACACCTCATCTCATCTGCTTCAGTGTCACACTTTCCCATTGGTGCATATCTAATATTTTCTTACACTTCAAATTGTCTTTGCTCCATTACCACAGAGTGAGAATTGATATATCATTTTGACAGATTATAACACCTCATAAGTGAACATGAATCTGTTTTTCTCTTTTATTTTTTATTATTCAGTAAGCAGAGTCACTGCATCGCACCCTGATGAAAGTTTTAACAACTAACAGTGTTGTGATTCAATAACGTTACGTTATGTAAATGTAAATTTTTAAGTTCAAAGCTACTTTTATTGCCACACAGTGGAACTAATGGAACAGATGGATAATGTAAAATAAAGACATCACATAAGTGTCAGCATAAGTGTAAACATATAGTGCACGACTCTACTTATGAGACAAATAGTCTTTTATGTATTCAAAGACGCTCCAGTCAAGGCATTCTGTCCTGCCTCCAAGTGTCCTACACCTCCAGGGTCATCTGCCATGAGATGGTGCCCTATGTGTGCAGCTGGAGTTCAGTGAGAGGAATTAGCAGACTTCAGATCTTTGATGCTCTGATGATAATTCTGTACATTTTCTTTAATAGGCGCTTAAGTGCATTTCCACATCAGACAGTAATTGAAAGAGACAGGATGCTCTGGATTGTGTCAGTGTAAAACTGGAAGAGCAGACTCAGCCTGACTGTGTTTTGCAATAAACGTCCCATTTCAGAAAGAAAGTAATAATCACAGTAATGGCTTTCCAATAAATAAAAAAGAGTGTGTGTCATTTTATTTTATTTTACAAGGCCTTATTGAGATTATAATTATTCAAGTGTAATAATTAAATGTATTGGAAAATATGAAAGTAACCGATGAAAAATGATCATTAATTTCAGGTTTATGTAAATGTAAATAGTGTTCAAGGTCAAATTCGTACTTGTACTTGAGTATTTGGAAGGAGACTCACCTTAAAAGGCACTTGGGGTTTGTAGTTCGGTGGCAAATCCCAGCTGAGAAGGACAGACGTCTTCATCACAGCTTTGACACCAAAGTTTAGTGTTGGAAAATCTGGGGTTGGAAAATTGCTTGATTATTATCTTAAGTGAGAAATCTTGAACACCACAATGTAGTTTCTGTGTGTAATTGAATTTCACAGCATGTAACCCTCCCAGTAAACAATGTGACCAGACTTGACAAGCCACTGGCAAATTGATCAAGAAAATAGCCTTCATCTCCTTAAGCCTTCCACTTATTACACCACTCTCACAACAAGATATTTTCTACGGGTCGAACTCAACAACATTATCACAGAGAAATGTATACTGCAGTGGGAAGGGGCAACATGCGTCACACACAACTGGTTCTAAATAAAAAATCTTTTTTATAAGATTATAAAATGCATGAGGAGGTACATGCTGGGTACGCATTAGATTTGTGTGAAGTGGGAGGGAGGATGAGGAGGCATAGTAATGTGACTGCAGCGTGTAATGAGATTAGTACTCTATAAATCAATAAACAGTGCCGTACAGTACTGAGTGGTAGATGAGAAAGACATGCCGCTGATAAAGACAGAAAAGAGTCGGTTGTGGAGTGTTCAAAACATCAGCTGGCGACGTTCGAGTACTTGCTCACAAATGTTTGTGGGGAGGGTTGTATAAACCGAAAGGTGAGACGCTGATGTTTTGTTTTAGAATCAAATACCTCGGCTTTGTGCATATTGAAATGTTCTGGCAGTGGTCCTACCGTTTGACATGGTCCTGCTCTGAATGCTCGGGCTGAGGGGTCCCCCGCCCTTGCTGGTATAGGCCTGCACACGGATGTCATAGGTGGTGTCAGGATTAAGGCCCAGGATGGTCATGTGAGTGTCAGACGTGCGATTGGTGCTGTTCTGCTGACTATTAATGTCCCTGTACACCACCATGTAGTACACGATTTTGCCGTTCCTCTCTGCCAGCAGCGGCGGCTCCCAGGTCAGCTCGGTGCTCGACTGAGTCAGTCCTGTTACTTGTAGGTTGAAGGGGAAGCCTGAGGGCACGTCTTCTGTGGTACTGATCTCCTTCACGTAGGCCTCGCCAATGCCTGCGCGATTACGAGCACTGAGGCGGAAGACATAGGTCGCGCCTTTGTGCAGTCCGGTGACAGTGTAGTGGTCATCGATCTTCCTCAGCTCACGTGAGGTATAGTTTTCTTCATCAGTGCGCTTGTACTGCAGCTGGTAGCCCATCAGCTCACCCACCATCTCCTTAGGTGGCTGCCACTGGATCAGCGCTGTGTTGCCCATGGTGGTGCTGATCATCATAGTCGGCTTGCCTGGCACTGAAAAACGAAAACAACAATTTAATGTTAACGTATTTTAATTCTTCTAAATATATAGGATCTATTTTAAACAGAAAATCAGACAATAAAACTTCCCGATGTAACATCTGGAAGCTGATACCATTTTAACAGCAGTACATGATAACTGTTATAGCGAACATACATGTGGTAGACAGTCTTCTAATGATAATAGTCTCTTGAATGAGGAAGACAGAGGCTTCAAGCCTAAAGGATAGTACCACTGTATTCATTGTAAACAGATGGCATGCATCCAATCTTTTCCTATGATAACACTGATAAAACTCTGACCTGCCCCCGTCGTGGTGATGACTTTAGCTTTGCTACGGGCTCCATCTCCCTTGGTGGTGTACGCGGCTACAGTGACAGAGTACGTGGTCTCTGAATGCAGTCCGCCAATGATGGCCTCCTGCAAAATGAAAAACAAAATCACAAGATCAGAGGTTAAAAGGAATCAGTGAGCAGAATGGCACAGCCTCAGTGTCATTCCGCCACCCCCAATAACAAAAAGAGAAACCCTTTTCACACAAGCGCCTAGCCCCTGAAAAATCACACAGCACCAAGAGAAACAATGGCAGGATTAAAACCCCCATTCTCCATCCACTGGTAGCTTCTTGATCAATTTGCCTATCAGAAAAAAAATTAATTAGGCATTAAATTATTTTGAAGGCACACATACAAAAACACACACAGGACCAGGAACATTTCTTTGTCAAGAAAAACTCCTCACCCCAAGTCGTTCGGCACACGCATAACCCATTAACCAACAAACCAACCACATGAACCAGAACGTCACCAGTGTGTCAGTGTTCATGTCTGCTGCGTGGATAAGCACGAGATTATAGCCAGAGGATTTTAGGATCATCACTACACTACCCATAAAACAGAACACGTCTGACTGTTGGACATTAAAACTCTTCAAGATTAATCTTAAAGATAAATAAACATCATAAACTTTGTTTTTAAATCCTTAAGTTAGCTTCAAGTCCTCTGGATTCTCATGTACGACAAATATTCACACAGCCTTAACACAAAGACAGACACACTAAGGTGGTTGAACAAATCAGTAACTCAGCAGTGAGGAACGAACAACTGAGGTAACACACTCTTACTGGTAACCTGCTGCAGTGCTGGCACTTACTTCACCAGACTGCATCAGTCTGAATAAAACACACCCACACACACTAGGATTAAACACCCTGAGCTTAAACAAAGAACGTATGTAAACAGACACACACAAGCATATGTGAACGCACATACTTACCTGTGTACAGTGTATGTACTGTATATAAATACACACCTTAATATACACGTATGCACACACACAATGATACACGCAGACGTGCATACACTCGATACAAAGAACAAATGAACGCCTGCAGCTTGAGCACACATACTAGAGCTGCCTGTTTCTCACTGGGGCCACTGAGAGGACGAATGCGCCGATGCCTACAAGCCTTCCTGTAGGAACTTCCTGCAAACTTCCAACCCTTGGAAAATGTTATATGGCTTTATCCTTTAACGCTGTTTCTCTAACTGATGAAGTTTTAATTTCCTGACCGGAGAAGAACATTCAACTGTCTATATAAGCCGGCGCTGTTTGACAATGCTTTTTACTGCCCCTCTCTTTAAGGGACATTTGGTACTCCCACACCAGCCTTTAAGAGAGACGGGTAGGAAAATGCTAAATTACTGAATCATAAAACCATTTTAACTTTATGGAGAAAGTCTCATTACTTTAATCATACAAAATGGCTTTCACAGTCTCAGCAGAGGCAGCCGCAGAGATCTTTTTCCTCCCTATTCTGGCAGGAACGAATCTGGTCTAGTAACACTTTTGAAACTCAGCAGAAAATGAAAAAGCAGGGCTTCAAAGTTTCCTTCAGAGCAAATGCTTAGAGCAGCACCAAAGGGCATTACAGAGATTATCAAGTCGACTAGTTATAGAAATGGATTCTTCTCTACAAGCCTCCCTACACCACTATCCTCACTCGGGTAGAAAATGCCAGGGGAAAAATGGGCAGCTTTGTTAAAACAAATACATTTGCTTCAGATAAGCTTTAGCTTAAGCCCAACATTTGATGTTCTCCATGCGTTGTTTGCATTAAACATGCCGTAATTATGTGAAACATTAATATTGCTTCAGTTCCATCAATTCTATCCTCTGTGAAGAAGCCATGGGTCGACGAGACATGCTGTTGTTGATATTGGTCTGCAGCTAGTCACGCAAAATTATTAAACTGGCTCACAGGCTGCTATTGCATAAACATGGCTGTTGATAGATGCAGACGTGTGAACAGATGTCTTCCTCAGACATCTCTGTCTGTCAGGTGTTAATCAACACATTAGGAGGAGAGGCAAGCCTGGCTCATGCAATGTGGGTGTAGCTGGAGGAATCTGGCCATGTGTGCCATACATCCAGAATTCAATGTTATCAGATAAATAAAATGATCTGCACGCATCCCACTGGCTCATTTATATATAAAGAAAAAATACTGTGTTGATATATAACCAGATACAACATCCATCAACCTTAACGGGTGGTCACCCATTGGATTAATCCTCTTTCTATATTTTCTTTCTTAAACAATCCACCTGCCCCTGTACGAATGCTGAAAACAGTGTTTGTTATTCAGGCAGGTTTTTATTGAATTTCTGACTGGGAACAGTAAGTGACTGCATTTAAGCTAGTGCAATCTGACGTCTGGGAAGTAATAAGCCATAACAAAGGGCTATGTGACAGCCATGGAACAGTGAGCTGCCATCCAGGCAAATGAAAAGAACATGAAAGGCTGGTGGCAATCTTGGAGATGTGTGGAGCTGATAAAACACACAGCTCCTCCCCTCAGATAGACATGTCATCTGGAACAGTGGGGGAGACAGCAGGTTAGGTGAGCCTGATTAATGTCATTGCCGCACTCGGGTAGTGACACACAGCCTTCGACTGCACCGTGCGCTCAGTGGGGGTGGGGGGGGCTCTGCATTCTCGCTGCAGTAAGTGCCTCCCATCCAAGTGACTGCCCAGCTGTTACTTCGAGCTTGTCTTACAGTAAAATGTTTAAATATTAGACATGAATGCAATCAGCAGTGGGAAAAAAATCCTCATGCTCTGTTGTTGCAGTATCTTTTAGAGAACATCACACACAAACACGCATAAATATAAAAACCAGGAGCCATTAGAGCACACATCTCTTGCTGTGGTTATGATGGGGTTATGATCTGTCGTGAGGATTCATACCGAGTGGATTACAGGCACGGCTTGCATAGAAATAAACACACAAGCATAAAACACACAACTCGTAATCCAAACACACAAGCACACACAAAACCCGCAAAAATTTCAGAGTGGAGAAGGCCTGCCCTGCTAGACAACCCAGCAGCACACATGAGGGTTACTCACATGCTCGGTGGACTCCTCAATATTCCACTGATGAGAGAGAAGACACAGGACACAGGGTTGGGGAGAGAAATGAGTCAGAGACAAAACAACAGGCACGGAAAAAAAGCACTGGTCTTTTTTTCGCTCAAAGACAGATGAATGTAGGTGTCATGCAGAGTAAAAAACACAGAGGGAGTGTGATGGAAGAGAAGGAGTAAAAAACAATGAAGACATGTTGAGTGGCATAAAACAAATTGTGTAACCGAGTTGAGCAATGATTGTGAAACACATTATTGTTTATGATGCACTGCCTTGTTTCTCATTTCCCTATGAATCAAATAAAAACTTTCCCTTCCTCACCTGCAGAATCGCACCACGGTTCATTAGAAAAACTATCTCACTTGACATAAACAAAGCGCAGAATCTATGAAGTATTTCCTTTTCCCTTACAAAAGTGGAGAAGGGGGCTTTTATTCATTATATTTTAATATGTTTTCAAAATGTTCTCCTTGCTGTGCTTGGCCAAGTGATTCCTGGGGGAAGTGAAAGCCCATTTTGTGCCATGGGGCTCCGTTGGTGCAGAGCGTGAAATCCTATTATCAGTGCCGCTATGCTAGCCCTGTGACATCAAACCCCATCGATGCATAACGCTACTGCTGGCGTTTACCAGCAACCCGTTCTACAGTTCAGCTACTGCAGAGGCGCTCACTGATGGGTGGCCTGGCTGACAAGGGGCAGGGGAGAGGATGACACCGGTAACACTGATGACGGACAAAAAAGATACGGGATAGATGGTTTGGCTGAGGAAGAACGGTGGATGGGTGGGTGATGATGGAAAACATTTTGATTTGATCATTAGGGTGCATAACTGTTGTAACAGCTGTTGGTGGACCACTGGGGAGAAGAGATGGAGTGGATTAGTGAGAGTTAATGCTGGGACATGAGGGGATCACAGGAGGAAGTGGGAGAAGTTACGAGACCAGAAACTGAATTTGAACCGTTGAGAGTTCTACTTAGAGGTTTGTTTCACCCAAATTACCAAAGAACATATTTTGCACTGACCTCTGGTGGTGGATCATGAAAGTTTTGTATTTACCTGCATTTAGAGATCTCTGTGTCTCTTGACTCTCTAATACAATACATGACATTTTGGTAGTTTTGCTCATTGCAGGAATAATTTCTTTGGAAATATGTATTTTTACAACCAGCAGAACTAACTTAGCAGAAACATTAAGGGTCTTTAGACAGATATATAGAGATTATCACACAGGATCGCACTTTAATTAAGACATTTATTTGAATGGTCATTTAAGGATTTCTAAAAAAAACAATGATTTAACATTGGACAGGTGCCCTTTAAGACAAAACTTCATGCTTTTGGGGATCTCTTCTTTCCTCCTCATTTATCTTTCCATTCTTCTCCACACTTTCACAAACACAGGGAACGAGCCTCACACACTGTTGATCCATTGTGCATTAGAGAGACTGTGTTCATCATCCTCCATTGACTGTTGGGATATGGGAAGACAAAAGAGCTAGCTTCTCCTCCCAGCTCCCTGCGGATGGGTCTTTATCACCGACTGGCTAACTGAAGCATGAGCTAGGACTCTGCATGGTCCCTGCTGCAACTGGTCGAGACACCTGGTGCATCAAAATCTGCTGCCTCATGCTCCCCTGACTTAGCGGGACATTAAAGAGTAGCATTTAAGAACAGCTGCTACTTAACTCCATGAATAACAGTTTGCGACGTGCCTAATTGCTTAATTTGTTTACCGTCGACTCCACTCAGTATGTCAACAGATCAGCGAACATGGCTCACATGAGTTCCTATCCCATTTGGGCTTAATCCCTTTCTATTGCAACTTCTTTAGCTTTCTGCTTATATCCATGGGAGAATTATAAATTATCCCTCATTTATATTTCGATTGCCATAGCAAGCTGAAAACACATCATTGCAAATAAGCGTCATTTGTGGGAACGGAGCAGTGTAATTTGCAGACGGGTGAATGCAAATGTGATGACATGGGCTGAGATGTGTGGCTATTAAAATGGGAGCGAGGAGGGAACGAGTGATGTGGAAGAGAAGGAGCTGTCATGATTGATGGAGTGAAGCAGGCTGAGGTGCTTCTTTTCTCTTTTTTTCGATTCCCATTCAACTCCAATCTGAGGCAGTGAAGGCCTCAGAGGTAGTGAAGCATTGCCTGCTTTCTCGCGTGCACACAGACACACACAAACACACCGACCACAAAAACGCATGAATGGTCACACGAAGTGAACTTGGAAGTATTGCTGAAAGAGGCAAAGCTGTGCAGTAAAGAAAAAGTGTGCAGAAAATGTACAGAACCACAGACGGTGGCTAATGACTTTAAACTCGATTATGCCGTTTCGTCCCAGGTTGTATAGACGAGTACATGAAAACATGCGCCTGGAGGCTGCTGTGACTCCATAGTGATGGAGCTGGCTATGTGGTGTGGTGTTGCCCACTCAGGGTCAGGCCACTTTCCCAATAGAAATATGGCTGGAAAAGGGTCGATAACATCACACTGTCAACATGGCCTCTGGTTTAAATTTAGCAGGGAAATGAGGGCGCTGTGTGGGCTTCTGCTTGAAAAGAAAAGAGGCGCTTAAAACACCCACGCACAGGCAAGCTTTCCCAGCTCTCCTCCCGGCATTTCAGCTAACCCTGAGATAGGGTGGACTGGAGAGAGGGAGCCAGAAACAGTGAGACAAAGCAAAGGGGAGAGGTGATAACGATTTTGACAGAATCTGCAATCAACTTAGAATCGTGATTGAAGTCTGAGGAGAGATTGTGGTGTGTTGTCGAAGCTGAAAACTCTGGATTTTTCTTTTCCTTCTGGCAGGCAAGCTGTGTATCCAATGCAGGTGAGAGGGTGAACATGGAGCTCGTTTCACAACACATTAGGTAAATTACTCAGAGAAACACTAAGGGATGTGCCAAGATGGAAGAAAATTGCCTTTTCTTTCACCATCAATTACAGGTGTGCGTTTGAGGGATTTGCATGACTCAAGCGTGAGTCATGAACTCTTCTCAGCCAGCTGGAACGCCTACTACTAGGTCGATCTACATTGAGCATGTTTGCACACGTTATCTCCCTTGTTTTTTTTCCACTTGTTGTTGGAGTATGTGAATGGAAAAATATTTGAGAAAAGTAAAGGGATTGTTCCGAAACCAGTTGGACAAACATGTGTGATGGAGCGTTGGCTGAATGTGTTCTTCCATGACATCTCGGCAGGTTTGTGCAGGTTTGTTACTCAGTGCCGTTTCACAGAAAACTATTTGTTGAGATGACTCCATCAAGGATAACAAACTCGCACGCAAGCCTCTGGTCATTACTCAACTGGTTTCTCAGGCTGGAGGAGTGCAAAAAGGCAGCTGAGAGAGAAAGGGAATGCAGATGGAGGGAGGGAGAAAAGAAAAACAGAAGAAGGGAGGAGGTCTTCAGGTTTCTGCCTGGGGAGGGGACCGCAAGTTTGAGAGGTGTCCTGGGCGCCACACTGGAACACGAGAGCTTTTCTTGAACACCAAATTGCAGCGTGTCTTTGTGTTTGCTGTGTGAACCTGGCACAAATGAGACATGGCCGGGACTATTGTTTGCACAACAAGTCGGGTCATGTTCAGTTCAGTTTTCACAACGCAAAACATGCTGAACATGTCTACATGAAGTAAACAGTTCCAGGAAGACAAGCAGATACCATGTTTTTCTCCTCTTCCAGATCAGACGATGCTGCCCTGACTGTCAAGCAATCTACTAAACAGTTAGATAACAATGGACTGTCAGCAAGAGGTGCCAGAAACTAGCGCTGTTGGACTGATAGTTGAAGGCAGACTCTTTCACCAGATGTAGAGACAGGAAGTCACTATGTTATACAGTTATTCAGCACCTTAAATTTACTTAATATTAAGTCTCAAGTGAGATGACTTGAGTCACTTGGGTGGTTTAACCACGACATACTTTTTTTTCTTCATGTACGTATTACTGATTGCCCTGTCGAACAACTGAACTCCTACCTTGCATCATTTGGGATTTACCACATATGACAACATCATATCAAGGTGACTTTGACAGGGCTTCCTCTTCTGTTAAGATAAGACAAGAAACAACGGGGGCGGGGGGTTTGCGAACATAAATGAGGGTTAATAGCTCCACTCAAGGACACAGCAGTGTGCACCGCCTGGAAACTGAACCAGCAACCTGCCAGTCCCCCTACAGCTGCTAAGTATTTATCAGCAAACACTGCTCAGAGACACATACAATGCTGCTCTGAGTTTTTTTCCTGTGATGTTCCTGCGGCCAGCGAGGGTGTACTTGTTCAAATTAGATGTTTTTGTTGGAGGCCATCCAGGGTGCGAGTGAATGCGTGTTCACGCAAATGTTACTCCCGGCAAACAATCAGAAAAAGGCTCTTAAGCTGGTCTCTCTTCACCCAAAGAGCGGGAAAAGTAAGAGTAGGGTTTTTGGCTTTAAGATATTCATGAATCTCTGAATCCTTCTTAAGGATTACAATCTCTCATCCATCTCACGACGTTGCACAGCTTTGGGGCGATTCAGAGCAGCCTGCATTAATGTGTAAAGGACGGCGTCAGGAAAATAACTGTAATTTATAAACATGGTAACAAGGCAGTGCATATGTATTACTGCTAAACTCGCAATGAGAGGTGCATTGATTCCACTAAGCCCCATCCTGATGTAACACATATAAAATATTTAATAGCTATTACTGTAGAATTAGACAGCTACGACTGTCTAATCCAAAGCTGTGGGAGCAGGGTACCAATTTAGAGTCGCATGTCACATGTGGAGAAAGATGAAAAAAAAGGGTGGAGGAGTAGGGGGGCTACTGCAGAAAGAAAATTCCACGTGTGTCACCCAGTATGGAGGAAATGAAGCGTGAACTCGGAGAATGGAAGGGAATAGGGGAGCGGTGGAGAATGAAAATAATGGGAAACGATCATAAGACAGATACAGCGAGTGAAAGTGAGACAGAGAAAGACAAGACAGAAGTAAGACATCATCCAGTACCTGTGCTTCTGGCAAAGCAACGTCCATGATATTAGGCTGGCCTCGAGGTTCACCGTTTTCAAGCCGGGAGAAGATGACCTGGTATCCTCGGATTTGGCCGTGTTGCTTCCCCTGCAGGGGCGGCTTCCAGGTGACCCGGATGGCTGTGGAGTTTATGGCCTCAACTTCCAGCTTCCTGGGGGGTGCTCCTGGCACTGGAATCCAGAAAAGGGGAGAGGGAAGGAAGGCAGATTGTGAGAGTAAGACGGACAGCAGCCCGTTTTAAACAGAGAGCTTGCTATACCCATGTTAAAAAGACCCCTCATTAGTCCAGCTTTGCTTTTCCACACTGGGCCAAACAAAGCCAGAATAATGCTGCTCCAGGGTGTGATTCTAGAGAGAATGGCGGCACTCTGGAATCAGAGGCGTGACGTGTAACGCAACAGCTTCCGTGTCTGTTCTGCCTTGACAGCTCTCCCCTTTACACAGACATCGATGTGGTTCTGTGACTACATCTGCTGCAGGCATAAAGGCAACGATGTCCCCAATTTATACACAACTGGAAGACAAAATAAAGCTTAAACATTCCCGCCTAAAAAAGGCTGTAAAAAGGGTCTAGTGAGAGAGGGAGGACCGAGCAAAAATATGCCAAGCTAGTGTTTTTCCTAAGTTCCTTGTGTTTGTGATGAGGAGCCAAAACTATCAAAATAATGACTCCTGAGATTTTTATAGACTCTGCTGCTCTGTAGCAGGAAGTGATACAAGAACTGGCCATGAATCAAAATGATCTCCACTCAAATTCAGACCTTCTGTGACGACCGTGTCCCAAAAACACCCCATGCAGTACAGCATGTGGTCTAGCGATGTCTGTAATGTCCTTAATTCCGGTATGAAATTAGCTGTGTTGCAGCAAACTTCAAACACATTAATTATAGACGGTTCTCTCTGAGGAGCAGCCGCTCTCTATCACACTGCAAACAAAACGAGGAAGGAGTGAAAAAAGGAGGGAGATAGAAAGGAGAGAGGGAGAGTTGTGCTCCACTTCTATTCCTCAGAACAGAAGAGACAAAATAAGAAAGCATTTAAACAGTGAGAGCAGAGTAAAGTATTGCAGAGCCGAGGCCTGCGGGTGATGAGACTTAACCTGCCATAGATGCAAAGTGTTGAAGCTAAAAAGAAGAAGGTTAAAGGAGAGAAAGAAGAGCAGTTGACCCCATTTTCTCCCACCGAAGCCTTATTAACTCACAATTGATCAACAGGACAAAGAGAAATGTGCAGTTGAAGTTGAAGAGAGCGAAGAAGAATAGTGACAACAGCCGCAAGCAAGAGTCTGAAAGGACTCTGCTTCCGGAGAGGTGTCTATGGAGTCAAATAAGGGTCCCTCATATTTTGAGCTTATGGAATGATCGTCAAAAAATAACCTCACACCCTGCAGTCGTATACAAAGCATCGCGTGTATGTGAAAAATACAAGCATGTATCTGAATTTGTTTGTTTGTGTGTGTAGCTGTAGAAAAGTGAAATTCAAGTAAATTTTTCTAAAATGTTTCACCAAGTTTGACACACATTTCCTATCTGAGCATGTGACACTGAAGAAATGAGCTAAAAGCACAAATTGTGACTTTTCTTAACCCTGTGCAGACGAGCCAATCAGGACGTTGACCTCTGACCAATTCAAACGGTCCAATTAAATCAGAAGACTACAGGTGCAGTGAGCTTTTCAAGGAGAAGCATTCAGCCACATCAGTGCATGTTGTTTCAGCTACGTGTCCTGTGTAAATTAACGTGAAACACTGAAGCAAAACCTGTCATCTGATGTTGAGATTACAACGTTAAGTTTTTTAAATTATGAATGTTAATTAGATTCTGTCAAAACATTTGCCTGCCTCACATTCCTATTTTTACTGGGAAACATCAACTGAGGCTACGTGATAATGTTGTTTTCTTACTGTTGTGTGCTTCATCACATTCAACCTCTTGACGCCAATGCCATGTGTTAACGGAGGAAATTAATTATTTGCTGTGAAGTAGTTTATTGAAAGTGTAAAAAAAAACAACTTTCACAGTATTTTCACAGAATAAGGTGAGTGATGCTACTATTACAAAACTAGCACTAGGTTTTTGAATAACTGAACGTGGACCCTCCCAAGAAAACTTCTCTGAGGACCAGCACATAATAAACCTGATATACTTGTGTACTTAATTGTAAATAAACATGTGGCTTAAATATAAAAAAAAACACTTTTATATATGAAATGTGATAGCGGAAATAGTTCTGTCATTCTTCATATTAAAAGTGAGCTTCGATCCATATTCAATTCTCAAGCACTGGGGTGGGGGCCTTCCTTTGCTTTCTTCTTCTGATTGGACTGGTTCATTGAATGGTCAGAGGGCAGTGTTCTGATTGGCTAGTCAGTGTAAATTACCTTACAGCTCATAGACACAAATAAGGAAGTTGTGTTTCTGTCACACACATAAAAATATTTCTACATCTACACACAATGTTTACATATATGCAAATCATATCTGCTGTTGTCACGTGTGTACACAATACGTCTACACCTACAAAGCTTTTTTACATATTTGCAAATTACATCTGTGTTCACAAAACTTTTTTCTCACAATTTTACAAATTCACACATTTTGATTTGTGAATTCATTGCATACATGCATACAAAGTGTGATATACACTTGCAGGGTGTGAGACTTATTTCATACACTCAAAATATGACCCTATTAACCCTTATGTCACTCAACAGGTGTCAACCTACCATCCTCTTTGGTTTTCATCCTCACTGGGGCACTTTCAGGGCCCGGGCCTACATCAGTGTGTGCCCTCACCCACACCTGATACTCAGTCCACTTCTCCAGGCCCACCAGCACATAGCTGGTGGCGTCTGCGCCGATGCCAGTCACCTCGTGCCGCTCTGTGTCCTCTCCAGCCAGGGCCTGGTAGCTGACTGTGTAGCGCACAATGGCGCCGTGGCGGCTAGCGGCGGGCGGTGCCACCCAACTCACCTTGAGACTGGTAGAGCTCAGGCTGACCAGGTGTACCTCTTGAGGGGGAGCGGACGGGGCTGCAGGGAGGGTAGGGAGGGGGAGCAAAACCACACGGAAGGAGGGGCATGGATCAAGCAAACGAAAAAGAAACTAAACACAAGCAAAAACAAGGCAAAACTGGGGAAGCGTTTTTGGTCAATATAAAAATCAAATGTCAATATTTGTATACAAGTCAGGTTATATAAGAAAACTGAAACTTGCATTGTATATCTCTAATGAAAGAGGCAGACACAAAATGAATACTGTTATTCTTATTATTTAATTTTATCTTTAAGTAAACAAAGCTGGGTTTAAAATACATGTTCATGTGTCTACCTGACAAAGTCTTAGAGTTAAGATATTGATTCTATCTGATGTTCATGACATCAACGTCCAATCAATCTATTTGATATTTAGGACATCTTGTCTACATTCATACTGTAGATGATACATTTAATAATATTAGATTGCATATGTGAATATGACATTTCATTTTTGTGCTGAATACAAAAAGCTTCCATACTAAACAGGGTGCTGCCTCTGGACTGAGAGACTTGCTGCAAAAAAAACACATTACCGGGCTACTGCTGAAGCTGTGTTTGGCACTGAATTTATGTGAGAGGCCATGAAACTACAGGGTGAGGTGAAGAAAACATAAAATGTGCCAAAATTTTACAAGGCAGCGTTTTTTTATAAAGGCGTAATTTGCCCTTAATTGCCCTCTCTGCTGCCTCTCGCAGTGCGAAGAAGGAGCAATAAACTGACCATATATGTGCCGGTGTGTGAACAAACACTTAACCGTGTTAAACGGGGTTCGCACATCAATGCAGAAGCTCTGAGCTTCCTAGAAGTGGTGTCAGACCTGGTCAGAGCTGCCGCTGAGATACACAGGGCTACTTCTGAGGTTATGTTTACATAAAGCTATAATTTCATAATCAGCAGTTAGAATTCGAGCCACTATTATTATTATTATTATTATAAACTCCCACACATCATTAATCTTTTAATACGAATGGCAAGAAGACCAGCAAAAGTGCAGTCATATTTTTAGTTTTCAAACTACTGGTTCAACAGGTCATCAATGTGATTTTATTTGAGGACTAAGTTATAGTCTGTCTACCTCATCCTGTTCCATTTTATAATCATAAACTCTTCTGGTGCATTCCCCAGATATAGTCGGCAATCTCTTGCTACACCTCCAGTCTGGAATAATAGGATTACCAAAATAAATAAGATTTATTTACAAGATTTAAACAAGATTAAATTATGATTAAAATGATAACAGCTTAAAAAAAAAGCCATAAAAAAACATGTCACTTCTCAAGTCCAGAGGTAAAAGCAGAAAACCAATAAACAATTCTACAATGGAACACAAATACAACACAGAAAACAAACTGAACTGCATTCACGAATTCCATGCATCTAACACAATCACAAACTTATTCAACTCGACTAAAAAAAAGGGCTCCTCAAAAGAATAGAATGAGAAACTGAGTAAAATAAAATTCGAGGCAGGGGTTTTACACAAAGCATGCCCGTGAAATGTGTCTTTTAATCAGCAGAGCAATGGACAGTGAGCTCAAATGCAAATCCAATAAATTAATGTTAGGACATGGAACTCCACCTTCTCAGTCTATTAAGAGTTAACAAAAGAGAAGTGAGTCACATCAGGTGGTCGCTGAACCACGAGAGAGAAAACTACAAAGAGAACACTGTGTATTAAAAAGGAATGAAAACAATGCAGATGGATTGCACAGGATATTTAGAAATCCAGGTCCTGGTTAAAAAATGGAACCAATTTGAGGAGCGTCAAACATTGGGCTTGAGATTATTGATTAAGAAGATAAAGTCCGATACTTAATTCTTTGACCATATATATTGTACATTAAAAGTACGGTCACACACATAATTAAAGAGTTGAATTATATATTTCTTTTTGTTTGCAACATTGATCTGAGTTACTGCTGTCATTAACCGTTTTACACTAAACACTAATATACAACTACTTATGTATAGTTGTTTTTCAATGTTTGTAAAAGATCTGCCAAACATTTTGGACTTTTCCATCCTGTGGTGTAATTTGTCATGTTGGAGATCAAGTTTGTTCATAGAAGTATGGAACTTTTCCACTCGTCAGGTCCTTCGCTGAGTGGTAGAGTTGTACTTTGACCATAGTTTGGATAAAGCTCAGTTATGTTCAGTGCTCTGAATCCAAATAAAAACAAAAGTAAACATTGAAATGCAGCACTTTGAAAATGTCCCTCTGTCCCACCGTCTGTTTGCTGCTGAACCTTCCTGAGGCTTCGCTGCTTATTTCATGCACAGCATCCTACTGTCGCATGTAAATCCAAATTCTGTGACCTTGCTGCTGCGGCTGGCAGGAGTCACAAGGACACAGACTCGTCACATCTCTTGATCTTGATTGACGGTTATATAACTCTGGGGTCGTCTGAGGTGTTAGCTCTTCAATGAATATGTCTGTCCCCGTCTGGGGGAAATTTTCAAAAAGACGTATCCATGCACCCTGTTCCGATCTGTTCTATTCTAACGGTGCAGCCACAGAAATTAAGCTACTGACTGGACACAAATCATAGTGTGAAGTGTCACTGTCCATCTGTTATTTTGGAATTTCTTCAACAAGTTTGAATAGTTGTCTTTTTACAGAAAAACATACCAATATAATTCTAGTATTTTAAAAATACAATTTTACAATTCAAAGTGTTCATCGTTAAGTTGAACGCTGTTTACCAGCAGCAATACGTGTTATTACACATTCAGTATCACTGGGTTTACCAAATCATAAGTTGCAGAAGGTTCAATTATTGTTTTTATTTTGAGCTTCCTTATTTCTAACAAATGCACTTTTGAACAGAATGTGTGCAGGAATAAAAAAAAAAATGCTGTATATAAGCTCCCCTGAGTGAAGTGGTACAAGCACCGCAGCAAAAACATCAGCAGTCAGATTGCAGAGGGACATTTTGAGTGCAGGCTCTGTAAAAGCGCATAATGATATGGAGGTAAAATAACACAGCCCCGCTCACAAATGTGGGAACACGACACATTAAACATACCTTTGACAGTGAATACAGGGCCTGCCCTCACATAGACGGACAGGAGGGTTAGTGTTGGTGACAGAGGAGAGGTGGTAGAAGCGTGAAGCTGGCAGGGACTGCTGCACTGTCAGCATTTTATGCCGTGCTGAAATTGACTTGACATTCAAGTTGCCCACAATCTCTGCTTTAAGCTCCATGAAAGTCAACTTTGTCCTGCTCTGAAAATAATGACCTTAATCTGTGTCAGCTGGCTGAGGGTGACCGTCACCCTACGGAATCACTGGTTAGTGGACAACGAGGAGAGGAAGGCAGATGAGAGGAAAGAGGAAAAGATGGTGGACTTACTGGACTGGGCGGTGCGGGCCTCGATGGGCTGTGTGTAAACGCCTAAACCCATCTCAGAACGGGCTGCCAGCGAGAAATGGTACAAGGTGTCAGGCTTTAAACCATCCACGGCGTGAGAGCCCGCTGGGTTGAAGGTCACATGTATCTGTGGGGGGGGAATTGGACAGAAACTTGCTGCTGAATTACAATCAAAGACAATTAAGTCACTTCACATCTTGAGCTACAGGAATAATAATGAAATCCTAAAGCCTAAACTGCTGTCTGTCCTTCTTGCATGCAGAGAATGCAACTACATTTGAGAGCATCTCTCACTAATAACAATTTGTCCTCTGGTTTACTGTTGGTGCAGTGGTCCAGTAGAGAAGGACAACAACAGTGAGAGACAGCTCTGAACAACCAGCTACAATAGTGAATCTTTCTTATCAGCTGGGGGGCTGACTGCAGAACTACAATCACAGTTTTCAGCCGCGGCTCCTCATTCTGAGAAATTGCATCATAAAGAGCCAGATTCATTTGTCTTCATTCGCACAGTAAAATATGAGATGACCACAAATGAGACAGACAGAGAGACTGACAGACAGACAGACCAGACAGATAAATGGATAGATATACAGACAGAAAGATAGATGCAGCATGTGGTAGAGAGAATCAGGTCATGAAATAATTATAACTTCATGTTGTTATTCTAACCTTGTTGTCTGAGCCAGTCTCCCAGTACTGCAGCTCATACTTTGTGATGGGGCCCTGAACAGGCCACAGCCACGTGAGCATGATGCGGGTGTCCAGCTCGGCTTCTGCCTCAAAGCTCGACGGCTGCGCAGGGACTGGGTAGAGAGGGGCGAGAGGATCCAGGTTAGAATAAAATAAAAGAATAAATACCTAAAGGTCAATAGTTATAACCACATCCCAAAAACCGAATGTATAGGAAGGCTTTCGCAAAGTATAATTGAGTTAATAATACATGCTCAATCTAATGTAAACTTTATCTCAAGTTATCTTTAAGGCATATTTGATCAGAAATAATGAAAGAACATCTGAACCATACATTAACACACATGAATGAACACACAGAGCCACAAACGGTGGTTGGCCGCTCACCTCCCTGCTGCGTTTTCACTTGCAGGATATCAGAAGGTGGCCCGTCACCGACAGAGGTGAAGCCCAGCACCCGCAGGCTGTACGTGATATCAGGAGTCAGGCCTGAGATGGTGGTCAGACTGCTGTCATCTGTGTTGTGTTTCTGCCAGGCGCTGAGCGGAGCCGTCAGGTCCGAGCTGTAGTACACTCGATAGCCCCTGATTTGCCCATTGGGTTCCTCGGGCGGTTCCCACTGGACCAGCATTGTGCTGGCACTTAGCATGCGCGCCTGGACGTGCAGCGGAGGTGAGGAGGGGGCCTGTTCACCGGTGCGTGTCTCCACGGGGTCGCTGGGTGGCCCGCGGCCAATGTTGTTGACAGCCATGACACGGAACTCGTACTCGGAGTAAGGGCTAAGTCCGCCAATGCTGTAGCGGGTGGTTGCTACACCTTCCACTTCCTGGAAGCCAGTGTCTGCGGACTTGGCTTTGTATTGGATCATGTAGTAGGACACAGGTTCTGGGTTCCCAGAGTCCCAGGTGAGTGTCACACTGGTGGCTGTGGTCTCTGTCACAATGAGGGAGGTTGGGGGCTTTGGCAAGGCTGAGGAGTGAGAAGCACGGCATTAGCTTTAATATCAGGAATTGACTTTTAGGACTTGTGGGTAATTTGATAACAATTGGATGTCTGACACATTTGACACCATAACTCTCAGAATGCACACATTACAGCTGAATTCGCTCTTGTGGAGAAAAGACGTGACTCCATAATGCTCCGTTCTGTAAGTCGTTGCACTGAAATGATTGTTTTATGAGCTAATCCTTATAGTACTCTCAGCAGCCATTATCCCTAAATGAAAAGAAAAGCTCGACTGAAATCCCAATTTTGTGTTTTATATCCGGTCCTACCATTACAAACAATATGAGAAAATTGCAAGAGTGGTTCCTGTTGTGACTGAAAGACAACGGGGGAAAAACAGGGGATCTTCATTATTGTTTCCTTGAAGAAGGGGGGGGAGGGGGGGTCTGTAATGCTGCGGTCCCTCTAAATGGCTGTGACATTCTGTGTATCGATCAGCTGAGTGGAAAGTGGGATCAATTTTTACGACAACTGATAAGAGAGGCTGCAACGGGTAGACAACACAGTCGCATAGTCACAGACACACAGGTGGGAAAAGCCACATTCACACAAACACTCGGGCAGAGAAAGAAAAAAATAACTGAACCAACACAAGGACAGACGCATAAAAGCCCAAACACAAGACATCAATGCTCATTGACAGAGAGACTGCAAACAGCTACAGCCTTTAATTTTTTATCTCTCAGTATAAACAAGAACCACAGGCGACAGCACCACAGATGTTTACGTTTCAGTTGACTTCAGTGATTTATTTTGTTTATATTCAATTTCTGAACCTTAGAATCAACAGAATTCACATTATAGCAGGATCCTCAGAGATAGTTTGACGGAACAAGTCTGACCCTCTCACCTTTGACAGTAACCTGAGCCGTGGCTTCGATGATGCCCAGAGAAGACATGGCCACGCACGTGTAGTTGGCCGACTCGCGGATGTTTGTGACCTCCAGCACATTGCGCCCCAGTGGCATCTCTTCCTCCTTGGTCAGCTCCACCAGGCCCGTCGTCCACTTGACGTAGGGCATCGGAGAGCCCACTGCCACGCACGTCAGATTGATGCTGCCGCCTGGCATCACCTCTTGGTTGGTGGGTGGAATTGAGAATCTTGGTGGGACTCTTCGCACTACAGAAACGTATGGGACAAAGGGGTGAATACGTTGGATATGTAAGGTGAATATAAGGTTCGATGCTAAACTCTAACTAAGAAAAGCTGACAAAATGGAGAGCTGGTTGCTTTTGTCCGAATGTGTAGGCGAGCACAATGGGAATAATAGGACTGTCAAAAAAATGGCTGTGGAAACTCACAAGAAAACTTAGAGGGGGTGGTTCATCCACTTCCCTACAAAAGGGAATATAATGAAAAAATAGCCCAGTTTTGCTTGAGACTACGTCTGGCCCTCTTTTGTCAGAGTGTCAAATGATGGCGAGAGTTGCATCATTGAGGGACCCCGTGGAGATGGCATTGTTTGATTTCTCCTCCTGCTCCCTCTCTCTGGCTCCTTCTGCTCAGCCTGTCTTTCTCACTCGCTCTCCCTCTCTTTGTGCAGTTCTGATATGCAGATAGGCTGACATTAAAAAGGGGTTCCCATGGAGACAAGAAGGGCCCGTTGACGTCGCCAGGGACAAGGCAAACACCGATGCAGAAGCTCCATGCAATACTGAAAAGCTGGCCCAGAATAAACAGGCAGCCGGCATTTACATATGACTTGTTTTCTATCTAAATAAAGATACACAAGCAATGCTTACACTTAAGATCTTTCTCTGGCAAGTTTTGGCAACGACAGCAAACTTGCCTGACGTGGTAAAGAAAACCTTACTTGACGCTGCTATGTGAACGTCCATCAATGTCAGAACAGTTGAATTTATGACATGCTGAACACTACCATAGTGTGTGGCGCAATGTAGGAAGGAGGAGCCCTGACTTCTTTGACCTTGATTATGTAGAAAGTGAGGCCAAGCCAAACATTAAGCTCCCAAGTGAGAAGCCATTATTGCCACCTCACTACTGCTGCTTGTATGTATTCAAAACATTACGGCATGAAGCTATCCCCGCAGAATTCATGCTGCTTGTTTCCCCTAATGCACTACAACATCTCTGTGTCTCTCTAGAAAAAAAAAAGCCCTTCACTGTAATTGCTCTTTTGCAACGGTCCCCATGAAAATGGATTTTAAAATGTGAGTCTCCCTCCACCTTCCCTTACCCCCCATCCCACCCTTCACCCCTCCCTCCCCTCCCGAATCTAATTTGAACCGGAACGTCATTACAGCCATGCTTGTTATTCCCCTCATTATGTGGTGAAATGGAAAAACACAAAAGCACGTTTTGAGATTCCAGTCAGGAAAAGGCTGGTTCTCTGGACTGTGCTGTAACAAGGGGGACCCGCTTCACACTCATCTGAATTTTCCCCAAATAATTGAGTGGATGTATATAGACCCCGAAGCTGGTTTTTAATTAATACAATCATGTGAGCTTGAACTTTTTGGCTCGATGTGTCAGTGTCTCAATATTAATATTCCAGGTCTGTGCCACAAAACAGACTGATACGACTGATATGTCGTGGAATTAGGTCTTTGAGTTACTTTCCAGGGTAAATCAAAAGTTCGTTTTGATGATTTAAACGACTTAATTATTCAGAGAGTGGCAAACAAAATACCTCCTTAACAAAGAGTTCAGCCAAAGTTTAGGTCACAGTAACGACGGCCATTGACTATTAATGCTGAATGAATACTAAAATCAAAAGTTTTTAAGATCAGTGAACAAGAGGGTACAACTTTATGAAGTTATGACATCACATTGAGGGATTCATGCAGGAGTAAAGTTACACAACTTGACAGAGAGACAGACATTATCGGACATGACATCAGCTTTCTAGGCGTCACAGGGGCTGGAATGATTTATACATGCTAAGATGTGGGACAGGTCCACTAGTGTTACCAGCCTGGGAACAGGACGAAGACGGCATTCTCAGGAAAAGCATGCACGGGAAAAATATGGGATGGGATCAGAAGCCTGCATACGCTGGGGGAAGAAGATAAAGGAGGGACTCGGTCCAATTTTCTCATAAAAATGAGCGAACATCTGATTTCCACAGTGACTAATGCACAACAGATGAGTTAGTAAAAAAGGCTTTAGTATTCCACTCATGCCAGCGACCATGTGCGTCTCCTCACACGGTGGCAACTTCTCAGAGTGCTGCTATTTTTCACAATATATGCTTATGAAACAGTGAAACCATGGAGAAGTAGACTAAACAGTGCTAAAAGCAGTCAGTCAATGGGACCTGTGTATATTGAACACTTAATGTTGTGAATAATTCATGGCGTGCGGTTAAGTTTGGAGAGGTGCTGTGGAACAAAATGACTAGAGGGCAGGTAATTGTTATCGATTCCCTCGAAGCCTCTCTCCTGTTGAGAGCAGCTTGGAGAGACGAGCTCCAGGACTCTATCAAAACCACAAAATAAGCCCTGTCTCCACTCTGCCTGCCCGCTTGCTGGATACCTATAAATTTAACTGCCTTGACAAAGTGCCCAAGGATAGCAGAACCTGTTCGGTGAATCAATATCTGTGCAAACTGGCACGGAGTCAGCAACCTCCCCGGCTTCCTGGCAGCAGCACTGGGCGTCCATGATGGCTGATCATCCCCCTGTCAGCACCCTGCCAGCTCATTCTTAAATATTCTATAGGTCAGCCCTTTTTGTGGCAGTGTTTTGGAGATGGTGCTGAGGAAAGAAATCACTTCCAAAACATAACCTCCCATGGACAGTGTCAATGTCGTTATTCATCAACACTAAAACAGAGCTACTACTTGTGGATAAAGGAGCAACAACTATCAAATGAATTAGTTATTTCACAGTAACTTCAATAGCGGTTACATTTCTTCAAAAGTCTTTCAGCACCACACAATAAACTTTTCTTTCCTGCTTGACCTCCCGCTGCAAAATTACAAGGAGGTGCGGGGGCTGTCCTCTCATTACACTAACATGTACCATCACATCCTTCAGTCTCTGGGTGGAGGACATTCATGGCAGTAAAAGAAAAAAGACCTAATCCCTTGAGAACAGCTTTGTCACTCCTGATACCTCTGTCTCTCAGAAGGAGAGCAGGGGTGTTGCTGCCTAAATACCTGACACATCCCACTGCCATCTGAATACAAGAGTAATCCATTAAAGACTTGATGTCCCTGCAGGGGTGGAAAGTCTGAGAGTGAAAGGAAGTATAGTTTTTGGTGCATGACGCTGACAGTGACACTGAGGGTGCGGTTGGAAAAATATGCAGAAACACAACACAACAGAGATCTAATAATGACTGAAGTAAGCTGCACAGGGACTGGTAACAAAGGCTAATCACAACAGGGTTCGAGGGTGCGACTTATATAGCATGCGAGAACTATTCAGGGATTCATGCAAACGTGTTGACAAAACCACATATTCACATTAAGGAGGATTAGGGCGGGAGCTGTTATTAATATTTTGTTTTTTTTCAAGCTTGGGGTATCTGTGTCTTGATCCGAGGGGCTGGGAGGGATGGGGAACTTTGCCTAAAGTCTGCATCAAATTGAAGGGAAGGGATTGAAAGTGAAAATGACCAACCTTCACGTTGACCTGTTTGTGGATGAAGTGATTTTGATGGAGGTGAGCGATGGAATGAAAAGACACAGAGTGGGGAGGAAGACAACACAGTGAAACCAAACAGTGTTTTCCATAGACCCAGTGGAGGTTAATGACATGGTACAGATATAAGCAAGGAAATGCATACATACGGTGCCAGGGAGGGAATCTCACTCTATTTATTTATTATTTTCTAAGTAGAACGTATCAAGGCTTATTTCAGATGTGTGTCGGATATCACACTTAAACAATTACCGTGCAGTTCAAATTGCTATTGATCTATTAGATGGTCAACATTACAGTATTGTGTTTTATCTGAATACCAATACGAATTAATCAGAGATCAAATAAAACGTTCCTGATACTGGACTTTTTATGCCTCATGCACCCAATCATTTAGTTGACCTATTCAACATTTTCCCCCTTTTTAACTTCTAACTCCTTCAGGAGCACTTGCTGATGTAGGGCTCACTCAATGTGCCCGTGTACCTCATCTTCTTCTTCATAAAAAATGATTTAGATAGATCATATTTGTGAGTTTCCATCCCTGACTCCCACACGCACACACATAGAACAGCATGAAGACATTTTGGTGAAAAGGAAAGCCCAGCTGCAGCACTTTATCCTCTGTGACATATTGACATGTCACATGGATATATGAGGGAGTGCCGGCAGACAGAAGCTGACATCCCTCCTCCGTTGTGGGATAAGCGCTTGACAAATGAGCGCTCATGCACAATCACAGAGCGCTTGTGATTCTGCCAATGTTGATGGAGTCCTTCTTTAGAGGGGGGTCACCGAAAGCAACCCCGCAACAAACAAGGCGCGCGCACACCCGCACTCGCACCCGCACACCTACATAAACATGCACACGCTCCTAACGGATGAGAAGTGGAAGGAAAATAAATGGATACATAGACAGGAAGGGGAAAACAATCCATGAGCAGAGCAGACCCCCACCCCGCCTCTCGCCTCACCCTCCCACACAGAAATATGAGGACATCATTCAGTGGCGGCTCTAAAATGTCAAGACAGGGTGGTGACGGTGGCGCTCGCAGCATGGTAGTGTACCTGCAGACAGGAATTGGATCAGGTAGCGACGGTGAGTGGAAAAAAACACAGATGCTTTCTCAGACACCAAACCCATAACAAGCACATTTAATGGAAGTCTGACAGGGATGTATGTGTGGGCGGGTGTTACAAGGTTGTTGATAGAGAACAATAACACAATTCTTTCTCACTTGCTAATCTTTTCATGTCGCCTTCAAAAAGTGGTTATTGACATTTCAAGGCTATAAATGTGGGGAGGATGAAGTTGTTGGAAACATATAATCAAGGGATAGATTCTTAAAGCCTATACTAAAAAGTGAGACTGGAATATTGAAACAGTCCATCTCAGCATTAAATGACGATACTTTGTGCATCACGAGGTGTCGAGAACTGTAAAACCGTTGTTTTTAATTTGTTTACAGCCTAAATGTAATTTTAAAATTGTATTAAAAGTTTGAGATCGGCAAGATTTTTACAGCCTGCCGCCACACATCAACACTGTATAAATTTAACAGTTGTCAAATGACTCGTTTGCTTCCAAAGCTTGTTATGTTTACAAGTTTGAGCAGACATGGTAAGCCCCCTAAATCTTCCCTCTGGTGTCTTTGAACGAAGGGAAGAGAGTAAAGGAAGAGAGTCGCGTCAAAGGCCACTTGTCTTGAGTCCCTCATGTTTTAAACCCAATCAAGCAGCCCAGTGATAACACAGCCCCGGGTCTCGTCTCTTCATTCTTGCAGCAGCAACAAAGACAGAGTGAAAACATGGCTTGAGCCTTTGTTCCCCATTGCAGACAAGTACACTTTTAAAAGGTTACGGATGGTTTGATTTCTATCTCTCCACTGGTGTGGTGAGACTGGTGGAAAGAGTTGGTGTTGGGGCCAACGGGTTGACAGCTACCTGGGTGGTGTGTTACAGACTTTCACAGCCCGGAGGCCCTGCTGGCGCCACGCCACACAACTACTGTAATTAACTCTGTGGAGAGAAAAAAGGCCATGTCTGCACCTGTGACAGACATGGCCTGATTAATAGACGAGGCTTACAGCCATCCCTCGCCTTTGCTGTTTGGCTGACTACCTCCCTCTGTCAAGATTTAAGATCTAAACCTTCTGAAGCCCCCGGTGTTTAATCTGTAAATATGATGCTGCGATGGTCCTTGAAGATGATTTTACCTCTGGTTCTTCTGATCCAGGAGCCACTGTCTGTTTTTTTTTTACTTGGATTTTTTTTTATATAAGGAAAATACTGATGCTATATAATAACAACTATTAGAGAGAGGGAATTTTGTCTGGAAAAGATCGTCATCTTGATTCAAATTTATCTTGATGGATAAAAGAAGAAATCACTGATCTGTAAAATAGCCTATATGATGCACTATTGTACATTTATGAAGTCATAGCTAATATGTCTCTTTCTTCCCCCGACACTTTCTCACTCCCAAATCCACCCACACTAACAACTGGAGCAGCTATTGTGTTTCATGTATATCAGACATGGTGTGTGTCTGACTGTGTTATTCACAGGGCCTGACCTAGACTATTCTCTCCCCTATACCAGCACTTTCCAGGATGGTAGAATGGTGCCTTTGTCCTGCATTAGTCTGCTCACAGACACACCACAACAAAAACAAACCATGAAACTCCAGGCACCTCCATGCCTTTTGGTGCTCTGGGTTGTGCTGAGGGGGGGGGTTAATGGAGCCTTTCGATACAGTCAGAAGGAAAAAAAAAAAGAAAAGAAACAAAGCCTGTCACAGCTTCCAGTGCCAGCAGAGGAATCTGTTTCAATGCAGCTGTTTTCACAGAGACCGCACCTGGTCGAGTTTGCAGCCAAACAGGACGTTGAGGTTAGTCGGTTGGTAAGGATAATCGCATGGCAAGGATAATGGTGAGAAAAGCGGATGAAGGTGAGCGGAAGAGAGAAGAAGTGGTGCGAATGGGACGATTAGACAATAACGAAAGGCCCTGCAAGTGTTTTCACTAGGCGGATTCAAACTCTGCTCAGGTTGAAGGTGGACAGAGGGATGTTGGGAATTACCCTTTGCACACATAACATTCTTCTAAGAGTTTCAGTTGTCCCACCCTGGCAGGGGCAACACAGCCAGCAAGAGAGTGAGGAATATGTCAATCACACACTGCTACGCACTCCTGAGAAGAGCTTTAATCACCCCAAATCACTAAAGTAAAACAAATCACACGAATAGGTGTACTAAAGGGATTTAGGGTCTTTAAAGGGAGATTAGACACAGAGATGCATGGTTGCTGGAGTGAACAACATTTAGAATTAAACAGCCAAGAATTTTCAAAGGGTTAGTTGTTTGTGTTTTGCAAATACATGATACAACAGAAATATTAGAACTGAAAGAGATGTTGGACTTTACCTCGTACGTAGAGATTGGCAGGAGCAGAGTAACGAGTCCCAGCACTGTTCATGGCAACACATTCATATTTCCCCTGGTCGGACTCCTCGCTGTTCTCAATTTGCAGAGCTCCTGCATGGAGGATTAAAAAATTTAGCTGTCTTGACAGTAGTGGAATATGAGATGTAACTTTGCATGAAACCACAGCAGATATCTGTACAGTGACTCGCTTGAGAGCCTGTAGTCAATTAGTATAACCCAGTTTGTGCGTAATTAAGTGTCTCAGACACAGACGTGGATTTGTCAAAAAAAAATTGCTTACAGCAACACAAGCCTTTAGCTGATTTGGCAAGTTTACAGGAACTGCTAACAGAATATTTGCCTAGTTGTGATAAGGAGAAAAAAAGACCATGACTGACGGTCAATTTATCATCTGAATGACATGTCACAACAATCACAGTCTGATTAGGCTTTGTGCTTATGGAATTAATTGACAAACCAAAGTGTTTATGTCATGGAGGGTTATCTAGCTCAGCCAGCTGTTAGAACCCAGCTAAGCTATACTGCATCTATACTGCACAACAAAAGCAGCAGAATTTATGTTATATCTTATAGAGCCATCAAGCTGCTGCCGCTTAATATCAACAACTGTGCAAAATGTGTTTAACACTGTTCTACCATGAGACATTATTTAGACCCTCAGGAGGGACGCGATTCTGAAGTGTTTTGAGCTGAGAATAATGTTTTCAGAGATGCTTAATGATGACATAAAATAAAAATGTGACCATATTTAAGTACAACACAAATGTAACTATAACAAGAGATATTGCTCCAAATAGCTGCCAGAGCAGATATATTTTCTTTAACCTGTAAGTACACATTTAGCAGTGAGGCCATTTCAGTGTTCTTTCATTACAAACTATCTGACCATGTCTCACTGAAACCCCCAAGGGGGACACTCCTCTGCCAGATGGCTTAGATTAGTATTCACAATCCCAAGTAGCTGTAGTGATCACACAGAAGGCTAACATGTTGTTTCTAACAAACCATGAAAGCCCAGGAGTCCTGTCTCGGATGTTCATTTTGACACACCGTGTCCAGAAGCATCACCTAATCATTGCTACTGAATTGCAAACGGTCGACAGATGAGGCCATTTATAGTTTAACAAATTGGAAAAACAAAAGACCAACAACACCAAACTTACCTGCATCCCATAATTTTACAAATACACATTTAAAAAGGAAACTTTTTCTCAAAAAGCAAAACACAGTAACTATACGCAAGTGAGTGATAACAGTTATCATGTCTCCAACACAGCATGGTACGAGGCAGTCAGCCACCATGCAGTTTGAAAATGACAAAAATACTCAGTGTACGATGATGTCAGGATACATTTTTTTTCACATCATGCAGTATGAGATGAATGCAACAAACAGGTTCACCACCAACCGTAGGGGACTCGAATCAAGGCGAGACCAAAAAAGAAGAGCGAAACAGGGCAGGGCAGTGACATGTGATAACTCCACCTCAGATCTCATGACAACACGTCCCTCCAAGGTGTTTGCTCTGCTTGCTGAGCTCATCGCTGTCTGATTCAGCACTGACATGTAACTGCATACTAATGTTGGTGTCACGAATCTGTCAATCTACCCACTCTCCCATGGGAAAAAACACTGAAAGCACGACAGGATTGTAGAAGGTTGCTGGTATGACAGTTTCCAGAGCTGAAACACTAAACTCCTTCAATTACTCCCAACTACAGGAACGCTGGATCTTCGACAAGGTCATTTACAAAGCAGGAGGGACACAGAGGCTGTCATAAGGCTATCATGACGCATAAAGAGTTAAAAACCTAATAGAGTCGGGACTGTATTAGTTGCCATGGATGCAAAAACACTCAGACAGACTGCTGGAAGTCCCAAATGTATCCAGCGTGCCCCAGACGTCCACCTTTTACCTCACTGTTGTTGATTGGAAATCATGCTTTTACTCTTGAGAAAAGCATATGATTTCCATAAAAAGGGAACCTTCCACCTTTACGTTCTCAACCAGGCATCCTGTTCACATGCTTGGGGGCAATGCTGCATCGACTGTATGCAAATTCAGCCATTTTAATTTACATTGAGGCCACATAAAGGAGGCAGGTAGATCCTCTAGTGGCGATGGTGGCCTTTAGTTTAAACTGCAACTCCTTGCCCCTTTTTACTAAAAAGCCCAAAAAGAGGCTGTAGCAGAGAGATGTTTTGTTTCTGTGCAAACATGTAAGTGTGTGTGTGAGTGTTTCACTCAAAAACATGTTTCATTTCTTACAGCAGGATGGGAGACTGGAAAAAGCTCATTTACAAAGTAACACCTTCGACTTTCTTTTTGCATTTCCATTCTCCTGGCATCAGGGTTGGTGATCATTTGTTTGTTAAGGGGCAGACAGAACATGATCAGACAGAACATGTTGGGGAAGAGACGAACGGGGAAGTGGAGGAAGGTGGTCTGGCGCTGTAACAGCGTGAATGAACCTGGTAATGTGGAACTGGTGGGGATGCAGGGGTCTGATGTGAGGGAATGGTCTGAACGTGACACACTTTGTTCATCATCCTTACCTCTAATTGGTGTACCACCTAGGTGGGAGTAATTTTGATGCAAACAGGGTTGAGAGATTAGTTAGTAAAACATGGCTTCTGCCACAGAAAAAAAACTGATGCAATGTGACATTGTACTTCATCAACGCTATGAAGGAGGTATACATTTTGGACTGTACATAATGTCTGTAAATTACCAGAAACCACACAGATTTAGATTTTCTTTGCTATTTGTCCTGACTTCACAGCAGCATTTGAAAGGTATGAAATTCAAGCAGGTTTATTTGTCTTTAATTAAGATTTCTAATGTAAGATGACCCCCACTCTTTTTTGCAGACAGCATTTATGCAGATAGCAGTTAGTGAAATGGGCAAGAGAAATGAATGAAAGTAATACACAGTAATTAGAGTGACGCAGAGGAAAATAATTCAGGTCAGAGGTATTAAATTGAAAAGAAGTTTACAGACTGAATGATCTGGATGGTGTGAAAAGAGAGAGACTAATGTGATGCAATATGAGCTTTCCCCATTACACTGTGGCAGCAAATTAATGCACAAAATCGGCCTAATTTCAGGTCATATGGCTGATGCTGGTGTTGCAGCAGATGTCAAGAGAAAGGTGGCGGATAAAAAGAGGTTTGAGGGCATCACACATCAGCACGTTTTCAGACACCATCACTATGTGCAAGGAAGAAAACTAATTAAAAGTGTGTTGCTGGGAGTAAAAGAAAAAAAAGAGAGAGTGTACAATTTTATCCTTGCTATAAAAACATTATCAAACAATTAGTAGATTTGTTAATATCCAATTTGTGATAAATCTAATTGGGGTTGTTCTTGCAGTACAGCCACAATTGAATATTGCAAGAACATGCACAGTCCAAGTGAGCGTGCTCCAGTGACCTGTATTCAGCGTCCACTGGGCAGCTTTAGCACCTGGCTTTTTCTGGAGTAGCTCTCCTCTTTAATCTTCGGGGCCTCAGACCTGCAGCCCGGCCTGACACTCTCTAAGTGAGGTAGATTTAGTAAGGAGTGACAAGACCAAACCTGGTCAAAAGCCACTAATCTTTCAATCTGATCCAGGTCAGGCGAGCACTGTTTATTTATCAAGTGCACTGATATAGTGAAACAAGGGTACCTCATTGATTTTTGTATTTTTCAAGGTTGAATCCGAGCTAATGCATCATCGGCTGGCCTCATTGTGACCCAGCCGTATGTTTAAGAGGGGATTACAGAATATTTAATACGGGGGAAAATTCTCTCTCTGTACTTTGAAAGGTTACAAGCTCATGTATCACTGTCAGAGATTGCAGGAACGCACGAACAACTTCATTGCAATTTCTGTTACTTTAAAAAGTGGCTGCAGCTGTTGTGAGAAACAGAATCGTCTAAGAACCCAGCCAACTAATCACGGCGACAATGACAAGCTGTATAAAACTTTCATGTGCTTTGTGATGAAAGAGAATAAATTAAGTCATACATGACAACAAAGGCCCTTTGTGTTTTCACATCATTCTCATGTCTAACATGACTACCAGTATGTCTGTTGGCATTTAATGTCATCTCTTAGCCTTCAACATGCCTTTGCTATAATTAACATGTTCCATATGTCATGTAGAATAACATCTTAAAGAAATTAAATCAGGTCGAATTCGATTGTACCTGAGCGGAGCTGTTTGATGCGCCCGTTGCTGCTGCTGATGTCCACAGGAAGCATGTCCTTGAACCAGGAGATCTCCGGGTCTGGGTTTCCGCTGGCAGCGCACAGCATGGTGGCGGTTCTGGTCTTTTCAACCACCTTCAGCTGGGGACCCATGTCGATGGTGGGGAAGCCATGGGGGATTTGGTTCTCTGAAAATGTGCAATGGTAGAACTTTAGTATGGCCACAAACATAGAGCAAAAATGTAAAATAAAATAAGAGGAAAAACATATTTGGAAAAAGATTGTGACAGAATAGACTCTCAGTTGCTGTGAGAGGTGTTGAGTTCATGAAAGCTTCTGAGTATGAGAGAGAGCAACACGTTTCAGGTGCTGCAGGCTGAACGGTGATCAGAACACACACACATAAACATTGTGCACTGCTGTGGAATGCTAGATCTGATGATGATGGTTTAGGTTTCAAATTTGGTTTTAGAAAATTTGGTCGCTGATTGATTATCATAACAAACTTATGACCCAGCATAGGGAGTCTCAGGTTCAGACAGAAGAAGGATATTTGCCTTTGGGCACCCCTGCATTAATGAGCTGCCTCCACAAGCTCAACAAACCTATTTGAATAATCCGACTCTTCGTAAACACTGATATAGCTCAGGTTTTTCATTTATTTTAAAATTGACTGGCCGTAGCCACTCAGCACCTGTTTCACTCTGTGATGGCAAGTTGTTTCGTTGTGTAACATCAGTCACGTGTTTTCAGCAAAGGGAAACAAACTGAGCCCTCACACTCATAATTAATCCTAATATCACCTTTGGACAACCTTAATAAAGAGGAAACCCGATGGCCCTTGCAAGGGATCATTATCAGCTTGCTCTCAAACATGTAATCTCTTTTATCTGTCTCCTTGTATGTGGATGAATCCTTGGTGTGGTAATAACATGCTGCTGCGTGTGGTTCAGCATGAAAAGATATCTGACTGCAGGTTAGCAATGAGAAAAGATTAGTCTGTTTGAAAGGACATTAATACAACATGTACATTTTGGTTATTTGGGAACAATGAGGGAAATTGTGTCTACAACGGGTTTTACAACAATACAAAATAAAGACAGAATGGTAATAACTGAATGGTCTGATCAAAATCCACTCATGATTATTCAAAAATTCAAATGTATGTAAGATGCTGTTTTCTTTCCATTCACCAGGGAAAAAACAAAAGCCTTTTTAAGACGGTCTCTTGTAAGAACTACGATGTGTGTTAGGAGCTGGGTGATGTTTTAACTACACACACTGCTCTCTTGTTAGTGGGATTGTCTAAAGTCTGAGCTGTTTATAAGAAACCCACCAAATAAATTGGTAAAACATCTATTGACTCATTCGTAAATGTCCATCTAATTAGTTTTTTCTACTTTTTAGAGAGACGCCAGCAGTATATCATCGGCCTCATTTCATTGTGATGTCTGAGTCAAAAATCCATATTTAAACACACAGTAAACTATATGACTGGAGTGTGAATACGAGTGTCTGTGATGTTCTTTGTTCTGATCTCCTGCAGAGCAGTTGTTCCTCCTTTCACCCTTGTGTTTGGCCCGCAGCCCGGATCGTCTCATATTCAAATGTAGTTGACAGATCGCCGTGTGGCGTCTTATCTTTGTGGCAAGGCAAACTTCCTGTCTGACGATACAGGATTCTGTTTTCAGACATCCAGACCGAAATCAGGATACCTCGAGAAAAGACACAACTGCAGCACGGTGAAATTATAGAGTACAATTTGTCACCGTATGAATAATGGTAACAGTATAGCGCCCTGTGTTCCTCTGTGGTTTGTGCTCTCGACAGCATTCAAAGAGAAAGATAGGGTACAAGGGCAGAGAGAATGAGAGATTGAGAAGGAGAAAGGAAAAGAATGAAAGAAAAATACCTTGTAGATGTGTGCCAGACTGTTGGGCTCACCAAAGTTGAGATGAAGAGGAAACAACTGATTTATACCAAACCCAGAGGAGGTTAAACCTCAGTGCCACCTCTTATAATTCACTGAAGATACAGTGTGTTCATAATAATATTAATAATAATAAACGTTAGTGTACAGCAGCTTTCATACAAGAAATGCAGCTCAAAGTGCTTTGAGGCCACAGATCTCTGGCCCTGTGTGGCTCCTGACATGGACCCAGTTTCCTCACTCACAGGGGTGGGAGGCAGAGTTTGTGTGGGATCACGTGGTTGCGTTCAGGGACGGTAGGCTGTGTTCAGGGACCTCGGTGAAGAGCAAAATCAGGTGCAATGTTTTGTCTGCAACACTATGGTATACTGAATTAGAAGCCTTATCTTTGCACATGTGTCAGCACACCTGACTGCTATTGTGTGCTCTTTGCACACTTCTTACCTCAACTTGTGTTTACTTATGTTTTTTTTTTTTAATATTTGCTTTGTAAATCATTTACTCATAATAATAATAACTGACCCCACACTCACTGTTATAGTTGTATGAAATCTTTGTGTACTTCTCCTTTATTTCCAGTGTTCATGTATCATCTGACACTGGCTGTTTGAGCATGTAACACATGATTGGGCTTCCAAAATCAGAAATGCAGAAAATGGTGCAGCTTCCCGTCTGGGTCGACTATATATCAACTGCATGCTGGAAACCAATTGAGTGAATGAGGCGTGACACTGTGCTGTCAATCACAGCGAGCCAGTTACCTGAGAGATTGTACAGAAGAGGTCAGGGGAGTCTGACTTACTATATTCATAAGTTGAATGCCTGAATATTTGACTTCCTCCAGAATATACCTACAGGATCTTCAAGGGTTATAACACTGAGTTAGCCACAGAAAGCAGTGTCTTGTCTTACTGCTGGGAGAGGCTATTTATGCAATGGTGCTTTGTGCAACCATGCATTACACTGGGAAAAAAACAACTGGAATATCAGGATATTTCCCACCAAAGCCACGTGTTGGTGCCTATAGAATATTTATGATTAAGATTATTGGCAAATGTTCCTGAGCTGTGAAAAATGCAAACCATTGGGAAAACAGGGTGAGAGACCCCAAAGGAGTTATTACACGAGTCAGCGACTCAGTCATATCAGGAAACGGGGAATAATTTAAAAGGCAAACAGCTGCTGCACAGCTTCTATATAAATCTATCCCCTATACCTCTGCTTAATGTTTGCACTGCAGGTGAACTGTTACTACAACAGCTGGACATTTCTTTCACACTGTGTCTGATAAGGGGAACCTGCACCATGACGTTGCATGGTATATGTCCACTCTGGGACATTATTGGATTAGAGTGTGGCAGCGCTGTAAGTACAGTTATATAAAGGCAGAGAGGTGCATTTCTTCATTGTTATTCCCACGGTCTGTAGAGTTTGGAAAGATCCAAAGTTAGTCACTCTCGGTCACTCTTGTTTTCAATATTAACTTCTTAGCTGACTTTCTAACTGTCTGTCATAACATAACCCTGTGCTCTCAGTGGCCAGGCCACAGACCAACGATGATTAACTCTGTGACACGCTGCCCTCGCACTGATATTTCACTCGCAGTGAAATTACATGCATTAAAAAAACGTCATAAAGAAAGACTGTTAAAGAAATGGTTTAAGAACACGTATATAAAAAATTTTTGAAAAACTTTGGAAAAATGTAAACATTAATCATTATAATTTGGTTAGAGTGCTAACACGCTGATCGGTATAGAAAGGTGAAACTATACATTTCTTACGAACATAGCTTTCTAAAATTGTCCTTGGCTTTTAGCAGAAAAGAAATAAATTGAAAGTTCTTTCCGTGCATTTATCAAAGATCTTGCCGAGCCATTGTGGGAGGTTTGATGACTGTCTGTCTATCCCTTCTACTCTAACTCCTGTGGCTGGCCTCGCCTGCCAAATTGTCATCCAAGGAAGACAAAGCTATGCCTTTGTTCAGTCCTCTTTAATTTGAAGGGAAGAGAAAAGGCAGGGAGAAATTTGGAACGAATCCAATGAAATAGTGCGGGCAATGCAGGTTGATGTTTGTCAAGATAGGGGGCATTTTTAATAAAACAAGGGCCTCTTGTGCTGGGGTGTAATTCATCAAAAAAGCTCCACACCTCTGTCTAGGCAGGGCAAGAAAATCCGAATAAGGCGAAAATCCGATGATAATGTCACGTAAGCGCTTTATTACTAAGATGAAGGGTGTTAGAGGAGGGGAAAAAAACAACAACAGCAGTTCATGTATCATGTGTGACATGTAAAGAGATTATTGTGTTCTGCTTCTCAGTCTTAATATAACACTGGTGGTTCATTTTCTACATATGCAGACTGAACAATCTGACATCGCGCAGGCTGCATGCAAACCATTTTACCACTGCTGATTTAATACAGTGTCGACGGTTGTTGGCACACACAAGAAATAGTGGAAACGCCCTGGGTTTGCAAATGAGTGAGGCCAGAGGCAGTGCCAGAAACACCTCAGAGGTAAAGACAGGTATGCACGAACTGGTTCCTCCATATTTGAAAGGTAAATAGAACCATTGTTCCCCCAGAAGCAGTTCGTCACGCACGCCATACTGTAATATGAGCAGCTTAGCAGATGAACTTGTTTTCAGAGGCTGGAGCGCCAAAGTAGAAAAGATAGGGGCTGAAATGGGAAGTCTTTATGTGGTTTTCTGATGGTACTACTCAATTAGGATAGCAGTGGGGGCCTTAACTATACACAGAAGACATGAGGAAACACTGGTAGCATCATTTGTGAAGAGAAGAGGCACTGGTAATATGGTAATTGGTAAAATTAAGAAAACATGATACCGTAATCATAAACTATTGTGTCAAGGAGGTGTGCCTCTGCTGTAAGAGCCAGAGGCAGGTGAGGTAAGATTTAAATGAGAGAAGAGGGAGGAAAAAAGTAAAAAGGAGAGGGAAAGGGAGGAGAGGAGGAGGGGTGCATGCCAACCTCCTGCCAGCTCCAATTACCAGTGTGAGCGGAGCGTGGCAGCTAGGGCGATGGGTCTAATCAGAGCCCTGCTGAAAGAGACCCATCCCTGTCCTCCCTTCCCACTGGGAGGCTGCTGGAGCTCAATCCCACACTAACATCAGCCAGCGTTTTTCCCTCAGCCCAAACATACTCATCTCAATCGGGGGAAAACACTCCAGACTCCCCATCCCCTTCATAACAGGGGAGCCCCTGACATACTGCCACAAGATACAACACTTCAGCATA